TTCCCCTCTTTGCTTAGATGATAGATAGCCAGTTACTTCTAACAGAGATATTAAAATCTGTAACAAATGTTTCATTTTCATTCAAGTCATGGGAATCATTAATGCAGAGATTACACTTCAGGAGCTGGGAAAGAAACAAAAGAAGCCTGTATGAGATCAAAAGAAAATCACATATATTCACTCGGTGCCATATTTCTGACAGTGACCTGTAATGTATGTCTGAGAGAAGGTATAAAAACAATTGAGGCATATAATGAAACGTCCTTGATATAACTGCCCAGTTTCCAGGAGAGCTGAGGCACACTGTCATCTGTCTGTGTCCTCCCCACCCGCCTTCATAGTTCCCTATGTTACGGACTTCATACTAGCTTTTCTACATCTCAGAAAAGAGATGTATGGCTCTGGTTGTGCAGAATCCCAAAACAGAGTCAGTCCTTGAACCTTACTCCCCTTTTCAGAATCAACTTTCCTCCGGTAAGACACAAAGATGTAACTCTCAACCTGAACACAACTAGGGAAACAACCTGCTGTACAGGGAGAGTAACAGAGGGAGCACCTACTGGTTATCACCATGCTATAGCAAGAACCACCTCTAGAAACTGTCAGCACCAAACTTTATTCTTCAAGTGCTCTGTGCCCAGAACTTGCAATTGTGCACAGCAGAGGTGTCCTGCCAGGGCCTGGTCACGCCTGGTATTAACAATGGCATATTCAAGTGTAATCACTGCTATCTCTCAGCTTCTGGCTCCCAGTGGATGCTGCTATCTTAATCTGCCCCTGCTTGCTCAGACCACAGAATGAAGAAATTCAGGAATACGGTGGAGAAGAAACATACAGTGTTTCTTTTGGAATTAAAAATAGAACAATTATCCTTAACAGCTTGCAGCAAGACTTGCATGAATGTCTGCATTGTAGTATATTGTGTGCATGCACAGCTTTCATATGTGAGGAACAGTTACCAAAGATGGACATCAGAATCTTTATTACAGCAGATCGTTATTGTCACAGATTATGTGCCAGGAAAATACAAATACTGTATATTAAACCATATGGAGCAGTTACTGGTACACTGAGCTCAACCATCAAAACACTTCTTCCACAATCACCACCCACAGACTGATGAATACCCATCATCTGTACACGAAGTTTAACTTTGTTTTATTAATGGTGGCATGAAATCTGAATATATTTAAAAATGCCCTACTATATAAAGCAATGTTTGGGGACTTTTTTCCTCCTGGTGAATTAATTTCAAATTTAGTTACCGTGGAAACCATCCTGAAACCAAAAAACCCAAAGTCTCAATATATATTTACACGCGCACACACAGACGCAGGTAAAGAAGAGGAGAAAAGTTGGAGTGTACCTGTACATGCAGGTTATAGAGAATTTTGTAACTGGACAAACAAAACCACTGGCTATTCATTTATGGGAACACAACTAAACTCTAAATCCAACTGCAATAATTATTCACACAATGATTGCCATCACTAGCAGGGCCACGAACAACCAAAACCTCTGCTCCTAGAAAATCAGGGCCTTTCTTTTCTGACTGGGAAACAAAAAGATAAAATAATCATAGAATTATGGGGTTGGAATGGATCTTAAGATCATCTAGTTCCAACCCCCTGCCACAGGCAGGCACACCTCACACTAGACTGTGTCGCCCAAGGCTCTGTCCAACCTGGCCTTGAACACTGCCAGGGATGCAGTAAGCATTTTCTTTCTTAGAACTGAAAAAGGGAAGTTCTGAGCATCCTAACATTACTTTAGTATGTCAAATGAGAAGTCAGGGCTAAGTGAAAATGCTTTTTTTGCTCATTCTGAAGACTGTAAAAAATTAATCCAAACAGATTTCAGTTGCAGCAGAGTGACAGGTAACAAATTAGACAAGAGACCATGACACAGAGATTCAGACCAGCAGTTCTGCAGTAAAATTTAACAGCAGACAGCTTTACCCAGGTTTATTTCTTTTCATACAGTGCTGTCATAAACATTTCATAAATAATTCTACTAGGAGTATGCATGATTTATAAAATGTCTGGGAGGAGCAGGCTGGCACAGTCCCTACTTGCCTTTGAGCAGCAGCTTTCCCTCTTTGAGCAGCTTTCCCTCTTGCACCCTGTTGTTTGTACTTGTAAAATTGAGTCAGCTGTAATTTCAGTAACCCTGAATCTTCTGTACAAGAGATTAAAAACAAGAGTGCTACTTGCTCCAGAAGAAAAAGGTATTTCAATAGTAAATTATCTACAGAAAGCCACTTAGACATGCATTTAACTCTTTTGTACCATGAAGGCTAAAGAGTTCTAAAAAAATAAAACCAGATGCATTCTATGGAACTAAATACATGCTTCAGGCAAAGTGTCTCTGTTGAAAATAACCCTGGAGGACATAAATCATAGAAAATCTTAAGGTTGGCCATTTAATTTCTAAGATTAGATGCAACTACTTACTTTCACAGAGCTCTACAATTGCTGTTTTATCACCTGTCAAGATACTAGCAGGGACATTGCATACACGTGTAACACCACCTGTGTGCAGTGGATGACAAGTCTGTTTCTGAGCACTGACCCATATGGCGCATGCAGTACATTTGCTCACCCACTGCCTGGCTAGGAGCTTTGCATGAGACCAAACTAGTTGAGGTTTAACCCAGACAAAGTCAACACCGCGTTGAGATATTTTTCTCTCAAGCTGTTCATAGATTTAGGTTTGCCCAATTCTGGAATGTCAGATGACATTAACAGCTTTTTTTTCCACGGGCACTTGCAGCCCTTTCTCTTGGATCTGGATTTTCTCACTGTGCTTTGTCTGTGTCATCTGCACTGGATTACTGCCACATGTTCCACACAGGGTTGTGTTTGAAGAGCATTTTAAAAATATAGCTGAGTAAAAAATGAGACGACCAAAATATTTTGTCATGCTAAACCCATCATGTACACTGTACTTGTTAACAAGAAGACTAACCTACATGCATACAGGAGTAAGTTAAGATGCTACACTGATTCACAAAGGCCTCAACAAGTTGTTTTGCTGTCTGAGGCACTCCATGTGCTGGTTATACTATCACAGTAGGAGAGGCACACTAGACTTGAGTCCCCAAACTGCAATTTCTAAAGTCTGGAGGCAGCAATCTACACAGAGCACTCCTGACTAACATAATCTTCGCCTGTTGGCAGACCCAAGTTCAAGCTGAGAACATCATTTTCACACATCTTCTCTCTTTTCTAACTGTACTGCCAATATACTGCACTGGGCTAGCATATAGATTTTCTTGAAGGCTATCTTTCATTTCAGAGTGTATTTATTTTTGTAATAATATTAAATGATGGGAACTAAATTCTTGTTGATTTAGAAAACAGAACTATTATACAGCTGTCTAGTACCTCTACCAGCACTTTTCATCCTTCAGAGTATACAAAGATCAATATGTAGAATAAGTAATGATTGTTTGTTGAAATAATGCTAGAAACATCCATGTAGGGATAGAATGGAATCTAAATTAAATTATTTAACATTAGCATTCAAAACCCAGACATAATTTATTTCAACGAGTGATCTCTCCCTGGGAATTCACATTTTCAGGTAGAAACACATTCACAGCTCAATTTCCTACTGCTCATCTTCCTCATACATGAAAACACAAGATACTTGCAATTTAACCCTGAAATGGTGAGCAAGTCAGGCTTGATCACGCAAACTTCACACCTGACTCAAGCATGTTGAGTAATTTCATTAACTTCCACACAAATACTTGTGTTATCTGGATCTGAGCCAAAGTATTCACCCGATTGATGAGTTTATCACACTGCAGGACCCTTAAAGGGATAGAAGGTACATATTGCAAGGAAATAACCACAACAAAGCCATGTAGTCATCAATCAGGTCGCAACTGTTTAGTCTATACCTTATCAGGCTGGTAGTATTTGTTAATCACAAATTCTATCCAGAAAGATGGAATGATACAGAAGCTCCTTTTGCAAACTGATCCATGATACAATTTGAACCATTATTCCTTAGTTGTTCAACCCATTGAGGAATTATAGAGAGCACTTACCTTATATTGAATGGAAGTTTTCACAGAAGTGCTAATTAACACAATATACAGAGATAATGAAGATCGATGTCAACAGATATAAAATAGAAATAAATTTCACAATTAAAATATTAAATCAGAAGCACTGGAAGAGAAAGCAGAGACATAAAATTCTCTCACTGCAAATCATAGCCAACCATGTAACAGATACATCAGCCAGAAAGCCAGAATATCTCCAGGTTCTTGCCACACATCACAACCCACAAACCAGCTACAGAGTCCTATCTATCCTAAAGAACAGAAGGGCACAGAAACCTAGAACATACCGCAGAAAAGCCAGGGATACCGAGGATAGAAGCAATGTGTTAAATGGCAATCACAGCAGGGAATCCGATAGATAAATGTTAACATAAATCTGAGAAGTATTGTGTCCCATGTCACTGAGGAGCACAGACACCCCTGTGGACGAGAAGGTATCGGAGACACAGAGACAATCTATACGACAGTGCTGCTACCACACTCAAATACGCTTTCTGCTGAGCCACACTACAAAAGCTTAACACAAGAAAGCTCCTTCCAACCCCAGAGATTTCTTAGAGCAACAAGCACTATTTTTTGACATGAGAAGTGCAAGTCTAGTTGAGAATCAGTAAACAGGAGGATAATTAAGATGAATGGAATTAGAATTTTTATAGACGGCTCAACCATCAAGTGCACGGTAAATGATGCGTAACTCAAGCTCATCAGAAATAATCCTTCTAATGTGGTTCCCTTCAAGAGAGGAAAATCACAGTAAATCTCTCTATGATACAATTCTGCCTTTTCTTTAGCCTCTCATGGCTTGTTTAATGCTCCTTTGCTGAATTTCACATTACTGATCCTTTGCAAACCTTCCAAATGAGAAGCAGGTGTTAAAATGATGGCTGAGAAAGTAGGAGTGTGTTTATTAGCTCTGTAAACTTACATTGAAGAAATTTGTCTTGTTCCTCTCGCAGAAGAGGCCCTGTGCAGGCATGTGCTTCAGCTGCTGCCAGGGGACGCCGCTGCCCAGCAGCACATCGCGGGCCCACTGTAGGTTCTGTGGACAAAGAGGGGCAGGTGAGTTGCAGGCAGAGGACAGAAATGCCACCAGAGGTAGAATTTCAAAGCACTCACTTGCTTTTATTCATTAATGCATTGTCATTTCTCATTTTCCACATAGTTGCTGTTACAACAGTATTTGTGGAGGCATGTGATTTGGAGAAGACATCCCTCAGCAGAGAGAAGCCAGCTTGCTTCTCACTGCAAGCATCCAGAGTGATCAGACCCAGCACACTAGTCAGTTCCGTACAGCTGCTGAATCCAGCCTCATACCATCAAGTTCTGTTTTCTTGCCTTGTTTTTAACCTGTCTCCATTTCATTGAGATCCACCCTCCAGCTCCTATCACCAAAACATGAACTATAGGTGTATTTAAAACACCTTAATTTTTTTTTTTTTTTTTTTTTGGTAAAAGCTGAATTTTAATGCTCAGTATAAAGTAACTCACATATAAAAGTATAAAGTCTCTCATTAAACACTGGAACTCGGTACTGCAGCCTTCCTCCACAGACCAGGCCCCCAGGAAAACAAGCCCCTTTTTTTCCTACACACACACTCTGGAAGATGCCCCTCAGCTCTTCCCTAGGGCTAACGACCTGCAAGGCATTAGTCCAGGCCTAACAGAAGAGCTTTAGGCTTAAACTGCAGTCTTTTAGTGCGGTGGAGGATTCAAGCCTTTTACCCCTACCAGCCATTGCCTTCCATGTAATTTCACTTAACCTCTCTGGAAAATTCCATGCCTGCCATCAAATTTGGTTAATACTGCTTAGTGAGTTAACAAGAATGTATCAATAGGAAACTAAATGACAGACAACAATCAAAAATTTATAGAAGCACTACGCCTCTAAGAGTTCAATACATGAACATCTCTTGTGTAGTTGAGAACTTGGGACAGCTGTTAGCTCCAGGCAAAACATTAGTAACAGATGGGACAATTATTAATTGTAAGGTTTCACTGATGGAAGTTTTGCTTTAAGTAATTTCTTATTTCAGTACTAGAAATTAGCATTCAAGTCGCATTAGACTGGCTTTTTTAGAGACAACTTCAGTACAGAGCAGAGGAAAAAAGAAGAGGAAGATGTGTGGTTCACAGAAACAAAGGAAAATGTTGAATTCTGATTTGTGTTCTGTGGGCTGGAAATACACTTTTGTGAATCATAAATTCGATTAAATCATATCCACCAAAGTATATTCCAGTTAGAACTCTTCTGAACTCTTCTTTTTTTTTTTTTATCTGAGGGGGTGGTTATTATCAAAGTTTTTATCCTGTCTTACAGATTATTTTCTTTGCAAGGCTTTTGTGAAACAGTAAAACCCCTGCTCAATCGTAAGTGCTTTTGTCCTAATGACAGTAATCATGCAGAAATCTCCAATGTCTTACCAGAACTGGAGCATCCCCTCCAGCAAAATGCTGATTATGGATTTAAGTGCAAGAGGGCTGAACACTGGAAATCCTAACCAGATATTTATGGATGTCAAAAATCCTTCATTCAGAGAGCTGATATAGGTACTTACACAGGACCTTCATGATTATGGCATACGACAGTCAAGGGGATTTGCAGAGATTTTTTTTGGTGTGGAACAAATACACGTACACTCATAAACATCACCAGGTACTTTCTGGCTAGTCAGAGGACCCAGAAAATTTAATTATCATCACTCAGTTTCAAATTTAATTAAGACCGAAGAAAGCAAAGTATGTAAACTTAACTGTAGACTAACTTCTTCCTATGGTACTTCTTTTGTAATATGTATTCCTGTAATCCTGTTAACCTAAGCCTGCAAAATACTTTGAAATACATACAGAAGAAAATATGATACAGAAAAGACCCCCTACAGAAACCTGGTCTTCCATGAAAGTCATCCTATTTTGAATAAAATCCACCAAAGAGAATCCAGCAAAAATAAGCCTATCATAACATCCAAGATCCAGCGTGTAAATGTGGTATTTTATGGCAGTCATCAGGAAACTAAGTAAATTTCAAGTGTGCAAACAAACTAAAAAATTGCCTAATGTGTGGCAATCTGGATCTTCCAGTTAAAATATCACCTGAAACTTAAACAAAACTGAACACCTTAAGCAAGGCACCACCACAAAGTTTAAATATAAAATCCCAGCCTAAAATTTTAGCTGTGGATGTATTCCTGAATGTAAGTTTTATGATGAAAATGTTAAGAGACCATTAAATGTGGTGTCATGCTCTGGTGATCTCCTGTGCGTGTTACACTGACCATCCTTAGGCATGCATCTGGTACATATAATTCAGAGGCTTTTATTGAACAAAATGATGACAGTAACCTAGGTAGGAAGAAAAAAAAACTTCAGACAAATGGGCCAATGACACGGTAACTTCACACAATCAAAACTAATAGGAATAAAAGATGTAGTTACAGATTTTCCACTACCCTTCTTCTTAAATCAGCATGATCAGTTATCCCCAGTAAATACGCCTGAACAGGTCTCAACTCATTAGATTTCACTGAGTCTGGTCTGCTTAGTTTTCTGCTGATGAAGTTATTAGGAGTGGGTGAAGGGATCCAGGACATAGCAAAAAGGATTTGTTCTTCTTGGCATGCTGCTTGCTAGTCTGAAACGCTGGATTTGGCCGTCTGACTCAGGGAAATTATGAAGTACTCTTTCCAGTTCAGCTGCTGCCTCCCACATCTTTATCACCCCCAGACTCAATGACAAGATGACTGGCAGGGTACAATAACTTGCAAAAAAATTTACCAGCATTGTTGAAGTTGAAGAGCAAAATCCCTCACGGTCAACCAAGCGGAAATCTGAGTCACCCAAGATGGATACACCTTAACAGAATGGTGCCAGAAGACACTTTTACCTACACTGGAAACTCCACGACGTTTTGCTGAGACGTGTACAAAATAACCTACTATACCTTAATCTTTCCCTCTGTTGTCTTTTGTAGTCTGTTAGAAGGCTTTGTTTCAAAAAATACTTGGTGCTACTGCATCAAATAAAAGCAAACCCCAAAAGACTATTGACCTTGAAGGGTAGCCTTTTGAATGAACTGTTATTACCACCCTGTTGCAACTTGAATTGCTTACATCCATTATGATGACAGATTATGCCTGTCTTCCATGTATATATTGAATATATATATCTTTTTACATGCATTTTTACACGCATGTATTATGCCCAGTTTGACTAAATTGCCATGCTACTGACATTATGTTCTACCTGACATTAATTTCCCCATTAACGGCTCTGTTAATAATGAACAGAATAGAAAGTGCAAGCTTAAAAAAACCCCTAACTCATACAAACAGTATTTGTGAGCGGATTCTTCCAGGACTTGCAGAGTATTTTTGATTTTGAGATAAAAAAAGCACCTAAGTAAATATTTTTATTTCCTGACAACCTGCTGGTTGCAGAGTATGAGACCAGTTGTACACACTGATCCTGACAGACCATAAGGCAAACGCTTCTCACAGAACTTGTTAGTTATATTGACAAACAGCATCTTGCCAAGCCCTGTCTTCTCCTTCCAAACTGTGCCAACACTCATTCTGGAGGTAAAAATCACAAAGGATAAAGACTTTACTTCAAGACAGAGACAACGTGAATGGGAAACTGAAACTACTGCCCAAGCTGGCAGTGAAGTCACCTCTGAAATTTCATCCTTACTTTCCTGCACATATATTCCAACAAAAAACAGCTATGTACAAATTTGCTCTGATAAGAGGATAAAACAAAGAGAAATAGCCTCCAAATAGTAAGCAGGGGAAAACCAAACAAAATGTTGAAAGATTTGGAAAAGATGTTAAAAAAAAAGCACTCAACAACTATTTTTACTAATCTTGCAACAGGAAAAAAAAAAATACTGTAAAATGGGAGAAAACAGATTGCATATGAAAACTTGTTTTTCTATGCACTATGGAGACCTGCCAATCCTCTCTTTTCCCAGCCAACCATGAAGTTTGGCCATCAGTCTAAATTCTTCATACAAATTCCTGGCACTAGTGCTTAAATGTTGGATTTTTCAAGATGGTTATATGCATTTAAAAATCAATTTCAGCCTTCTAAAATCCACCAGTAATCCCCTCTGCCCCCCACAGCAACTCCACCTGATGTAATTTATCTTATTTTTGGAAATCAGGCTTATCAACATTATATCTGAGCATACTTCTTACTCCACTTACTGCTGAAAATGCATAGTTTCATTTAGTGGTTTAACTTTGTTCAGGAGTATAACTCCTACTGAAGACATATTAGTGTACCATTAAAACACAGACATTTGGCATTGCTCTACAAAAGCCTGAATGAGTCATCAAAGAAAGAAAATTACAACCTCATGAAAGTATGCAGCGTACATATATCAGTGGGAAGATTTTTTTTTGCAGTGTTAAGAGGTTGTTTGTCATAAAACAGGACAGTAAAAGCCAACAATGCCCCAGCTGAAGCCACCTGATAACTACTGGGCTCAAACAGGTAGGATTCAATTTTTCTGAATTCCAAGATGAGGTGGATTTAGACAACAATGTGTATTGCAACCAGAAAACCATTACAAATCACTAAGTTGTTATGTATATAGGGAGGGAGATGAGAAAAAAAAAAACAGAAAAGGCTGCACCAGGAAATAAAAAAAACAGAAAAAAAAAGAAAGAAAATATTTTGCAAGTAGCTCCTCAGGCAAGGACATGGTATTTGAACCAATAAATTGAAAACAGGCAGCCTTTTTTGTTGCATGTTGATACAAAATCATTTGTCAGCAACAGTAATGACAGCTCGCAGGAATCTACGGCTCCTATTAATGATTAGTTCCATGGAAAAAATAACAACTGCCACATACAAGCGGCATAAGAATGTTTTCAAAACAAACTATCTTTAACAAAATGGTAGCGTTTTTCTGGATAATCATTGAACAGCCAAATGGAACATTCATCACCTTTCAGTAGATCAGTAAGACGTGCTACTGCTCAATTCGCAGCAGTGCTCTTGGTGTGTTTTCTACTACGAGGCAAGGGGTATGATTTGTTTCCATTCCCTTCCATTCCCTGTTATTCACACACGCTTCAGTACCGGTGGGGAGAGAATTCAGGAAGCCATGCAGTGCAGCGTATGACATAACACAGGACTTCCAAATGCAAAATCTGTGAGTTCAGACCTTCATTATGGCAATTAGAGAAATAACGTCGATAATTTCAACCTACTGTTCATACACAATTTACTGATACTTCAGAAGCACAAATGATTACAATAACTGAAATATGCAGAAGTAAAAGACACAATTCTAAAACCAAACCAATGGTAATTCATAACAGAATGCTTTTAAAATTAATTTTATTATGAAGAAGGGTCATGCTGGAGGAAGCATGTTATTTTTCCCCCCCTCAAACAAGAACTGATACTATTACAGTCACCAAATCATTGTTATTCCTGATAATCCAAAATCTCCAGCTCATGAACAGCAGGATCTCTGACTGGCTTTCACTTAGTGATCTCTAAGCTGTAAATAATTGTCTTACTCAAGATGACCTCTATTCTCTGACAGCAGGAAAACCTTCATTCTACAAAGACCCAAGATACCCAGAAAGTCTGTGTCACATGCTGTGTTTACACCAATACTAACAAATTGCTGCTTCCAAGTCACTTTTCAGTCCACTTATTCAGTAAAATAATTGCTACCATTATTGTGAGAACATCTTAGTTTATGTAAGAGATCTAAAAGGTAATTCTCTGCTGAATGACAAAAATTACCTAGTTCAGTAATAAAAAAAGAAGCTTTCAACTCAACTGGCCTCACACACATGAATCAGACAATCTAGGAGCTGTTCCAATCCAAAGCACAGTTCCAATCCAAACTGCAAAACAAATTTACCTGCTCTGTTTTAACACTGAGACTTCTGAATTAGCATGAATGACAATACAGTTTGCTTACTCAGGCAACAAACACAGCGAGTCAGCTCTTGTGCCAGTGGCCTGCTCACCTTGTGTGTTTTGCTGTATGTGTACAGATAAGCCAGTCTGTAGAGGCTCTTGTAGTGCTGGGGAAAGCGGCTGAGGCACAGACAGAAGGAGGCAATACATTGCTCTGTCAGGAACTTCCGCTGTTCCTCAAGGTCTGCTGGAAGGCCATGAGGAAATTCAGATGTATCTCCACTATGTTCAGCTTTCTTTTTGTAGTCCCACTGTGAGGGTGTGGGGATTGTAGCTTTGATGGGATTGCCAGCAGCAGTCTGAGACTCCACCAGAATCTTTTGGCCTGTAGGCTCAGCAGGGTGGTAAGATTCTGAGATCTCCAGCAGCTCTTCTGACTTTCCTGCAACTGGAACATTAAGGGAAGACAAAAGTGCTCATGAAAATTACAAGCAGGCAAACGAAATACACAAAATAACAAAAATTAAATGCAACAAATGATAATCCTTCTCTTCATGAAAGCACAGACAGAAATATTGAGGGGTTCCTGAGAAAAATTATGACTATTTCTGATGTTCAGGGAGTAAATAATCATAGAATCACAGAATCATAGAATTGTTAGGGTTGGAAAGGACCTTAAGATCATCTAGTTCCAATCCCCCTGCCATGGGCAGGGACACCTTACACTAAATCATATCACCCAAGGCCTCGTCCAACCTGGTCTTGAACACTGCCAGGGATGGAGCATTCACAACCTCCCTGGGCAACCCATTCCAGTGCCTCACCACCCTAACAGGAAAGAATTTCCTTCTTATATCCAACCTAAACTTCCCCTGTTTAAGTAATCTTCAGCTCATTAACAGAGCCACAGACTGATCTCTCCATTGTCTTTTTTAGGTTTTCCCCTGAGCACACCTTACACAATGCAGGATTTTATATATTGTTGGAAGATGGGGGAGGAGGGGAGAAAACAACAAAATAAAGGTGTAATTAGTAAAATTCTACTGTAAAGAAAGGAAAAAAGAATAGAAAATTAAAGTCATCCTGCCAAGTGAAATATTTTTCTTAATGATTTACCTAGAAGAACACAATTCCAGAACATAATTTAGGCTTGGACAGACTGATTAGAGCAGCTAACCTGGTCTTCTGGACAATGTAGGACCTACAGTTCTATCTATGGTAACTCAGTTCAACTGACCCATCTTTTCTTAGATGATACCAAATCTTACTTCACAAAACATCTGTTGCAGTTGGAGCTTCCACATTTCATTATTGCTGAACTCATGCCTGCTACATGCAGATGAATTTTTTTAAACTGCATGAACAGGCAAAAAAAGACTTAACAGGCCTCAAACAGGCACAGCACGGAAAGGTGGGCAAAATTCATACATTGGGCTTGTTTGTCTTTCCTACTGAAATCTGGCCTCTTTATTCACTGCCACCTCCAACTGTGCAAACATCAGACAAAGGGAAATTCCAGTTAATGGATATTGAAACAAATTTTCCAGTGGAATACAGAACACTTAGTGCTATTATAGATGGAGAAAACTGGTAGACAGCAATTCCACTTCTCCACTGAAATAAACTATCCAGTGGAATAAAACATCTAATTTCACTAATTGTGCTCTGCTATGTACTGAATATCAAGCTGCTACTGGCTAGAACAGAAAGGGCATCTATACCTAGGGAAAAGAAAAAAATGTTTTGTTTGAGATTAGCTTCTAATGACTACTCCTTAAATTATTTAGGGATTGGAAACATTGAGAAAAAGAGTAAATAAAAACCTAGAGGAAGGCAAGCTAGTCAAAGGGCCACCACAGACACCAGCTTATCATTATTCTTGTCTTTATAAGGTTTAACAGGTAGTACAAACTGGGATGATGGTCACAGAAGCAAAGACAGTTCCTATTTTAAGCTACACATACATGCAGCAGCAACGCCTACTTAAAGTCCTCAGTCTCACTGCAGCATATTTCAGTGCTTCTGCATGCCAGAAGAAACATTTTAATGATAATATACCAGCTGATATTATCTATTAAATCAGGCATACTCTTTTCCTCTGTAGGTCCCAGGGTTTCTTTGCTGGGTATCACAGCATCAGCACAGGTAGTAGAAATCCTCTTCTCTGTGTAAGTCTTCCTCAGGCTGTCTTGAGAACTGGCAGGCTCATTAAACATATCCTGTGTAGAACTGGAGTCAGACAGCACCGCTGCAGTGCTATCCTGACTCCTCTCTGCAAAAGAGATAAAGAAGGAATGCACCACTTCACACTCATCAAGCTGTTACTTGCATCTTAGTAACAGCAACATCGAACTGCAACCACTCTACAAAGCTCTGACAAACGCAGTACAGGATCCTTAACAACCACCAGTTCTGCTGTCTAAAAGGTATTTTCTTTTGTCTACTAATCATTTTCATCTCAGCTCTTTGTGCTAAGAATTTAAAACCCTAGTCTTCTTTCCCTAGGTATTATTTAACACTAATGCAATAGAGAGCTCCCTGCCCCACCACATTTCCTCCTAGAATATTACTCTGGAATCTGATTCAAAAGAAATGATGCTCAACTTTCAAAAACAGTTAGACTAAGGACCCAATATTTCATCTAGTATGGACTTTAACATTTCCTGGGTTTACTGTGCCATTTCCCTTGAAAAGCACCCAGTATAATTTTGAGTCTGACGCAAGCAAATCTCAAATGACAAGAAGGCCATGAACAACAATACTGGTAAAAATTACCCATGAAGGACAGAAAAGTCAGTATCATTAGAGGGCAAAGACTTACAGGAGTGATCACTGATGCCATCTATCCTGCAGGTGTTAGATGCTGTTCACCAAATGTTCTGAAAGGTGATTTGATATGGCAAATAAACAATCCATCAAAAAACTAGGTCTAGTCAACAGGAAAACTCTTGGACGTCAAGGCAGTAGGCAGAAGAACAGAAGTGACTTTGCCTTGACAAACTAGAGTAGTGTACACTGGCCACTGACGTTACAGTGGTACCTTATCATGACTTTATCACAGGGGATAAAATTCATACTTGAGAACAAACAGCCATGTGAAAAACTTCCATCCATGTCTGGAACCTGCCTGATATAACCCAAGCTCTTTTACATCAAGAGGCAGCCCTGCATTCCTAAAAACCACAGCTTCATATCTCCAACAGGAAGATGCATGGATATTCCCAGTGAGAAGGGAAACTGGCATTTTCTGTAATATTGTGCCAACATAATTCAGTGTCCAACAGAAAATTCTAATCTAGGCAATTGTCTCCAGTTCTGCAGCCCAAAGGATTAATATCCAGTTTCTGCTGAAGATACAGGAATAGCTTAACCGAGAGGCATGTTACCTCTATTGTCTAGGGAGTTCCACTGCATTCTTAGTCATTCCTTTTCTTGATAAGATCAAAAAAGAAAATCTTAAAAAAGCAAAAGCCCTTGCTTTGAGATGAGCTGATAATTTAATTAAATTTCTTCTGTTCCATCTGAATTGCACTTGTTCAGGAGAGAGATAAGGGCCTCCTATGAATTTATTTTATCAAGAAAAAAAAAAATCCCTCTGCAAGCCTTCAATTTGCAAATCAGGTTCTGCTTATTAGGATACCAACAAAATTAAACCAGATTTGATGCACTCCATAGGCTTTTCACCACCACACAAAGAAAACCTTCCCTTTCAGTGAACAGATCTTAATAAAACTCTCTCAGAAAAAAGAATAGGGGAACAGCATTTGCTTCCTAATTGGAAGTTATATAGTTGGTTAATAATGACAAGTTTTATATAGAAAGAATATAATTATAAAGAATGGGAAGAGAAGGCTTCTGAAGAGAGGTCAGTCAAGCTTTAAATGACTCATTTATAAAGCTTTAATAACCTTCTGCGGTACAAATGGATACTATTGAACTCCCAGTTGACATCAGGAAAAAGACTGACAGTAGTTCCCTTGACTTTTTTTTTTTAAGGAAAGTTTCAGCATCTGTGGCAAAGAAGCTGAATTACTCATCTAGGGAAAAAAAAAATAAAATTGCCCATTTCCAAATGTTGCCATAAGCCTGGAGGTCAGTTCTGATGTGTGGGTTATGACGGATGAAGCCTTAGAACGCAAATCAAGAACTGCTAGATCAGTATGAGACAGTGCTGTCAGTTCACTAGGAAATTACACTAACTTCTCAGCATGCAAAAATAGACAATGATTTAGCATGTTAGATTTCAAATGTATGCATGACAGGGAAGCTTTTCCCTGTGGGGAACAAATGGAAATACCTCCTGACAATTAGCTAGCTATTTTGATTTAAAGTTTCTACTAAAAGCAGCGTAGGTCTAGATATGCAGGTTCATTTGCCTTTTCTTTCAATATGATAAATATATAAAAAAAAATAACCTTCATGATATTAACATTGGACTCTAATAACCGAAAAGACTCTGCTTTTGAGACAACCTCCTATTATTTCAGAGACCTCTTGAATGCAATAGTTGCTTTCAGACTAAGTGGGCTTGATGAAAAACACTGGAGTATTTCAGAAATTAGCAGCACCCACCAGTTATTAGTATTAATTTCTTAGAAGTCACAGAGGATGGGTAAAGTTCCAGGGAACAGAAAACGAAGTGTAGTACCTAACTCTACAAAGGATAAAAGGTCAAAGCTGTTAGCCAGCTGGCCTTCATTTTCCACAGAATTATCTGAGCATAAATAAATCCATGTCTAAGTACCTAAAAAATAACAAGATCAGCAGTAGAAAGTGTATGTATATATCCCAGCACATATATTCACATATGCCTGCAGAGAATTAGTGATTCCCAAACCAGAAATGGCCAAAATGTCATGCTATTATAAAAGCAATTCAGCAAACCAGCACGTTTGAATGTATAATCAGTAACTTCAACAGAAAAAAATACATGAGAGTCTTCCTGTTCTACTGAGCACTAATGAAAATTAAGCTTAATTATGGTGTCTTAATTATTTGGGACTCAGATTTAAAAAAAATACACTGAGTAACTAGAATGAATTCAGAGGAGAGGAGAAAAAATGAGATGGCATATAATAAAAACACTGGGAGAACTGGACTTCAAAATGATAAGGAGAATTTCCAAATATATACAATTAACCAAAATAAAAATACAGTAACTGCTCTTCATATTCACTAAGTACAGAGCAAGAGGCAATGGGGTTTAATTCCCCCTTAATCTTTAGCTTAACTCTTACATACAGTTAAAAATTGCACAGAGAACCTACAGAATCACTGGAGATTCTCAAACAGCTATCATTTGTTAGGCTACCCAAGATGTATCTTAATGTAATAAAAAAGCTCTGTCAATACCTAAATCCTGCAGTATGTAATGCAGAACTCATGGCAACTGCACCAAGTCACATCCTAACTGCATAACATAGATAAAAAAGTATCTATGCAGTAGATCTCATGCAATAAAGGTGGGTTGTTCACAGGCTGTGGATGTACAGACTCTCTCGTTGTCCTGCCTGGCACCATATCTCCCCTCTTCACTTATATGTATCAGCATTTTTCTTTATTGGTCTGCAGTCAGAAACATGATGTATCACACACTTCTCATTCTTGAAACAGATTACACCCATAACAGAAGGCAACATTCAGCACTGTATAAAAGAATTGCAGAGATTTGCATGGGAGCAGATTCATTTCTTGAGGGCAGCAAGTCCTCTGAATGCTTAAAGGGATTCTCTTATGAGTCAAAGATGAGAGTCTACATTTTGTCTGGCTGCACTGAGCACTGAACATGTTTCTGTAACCTGCAGTCCTGTATTGTGTTCTTCTGTCTTCAAGTGCAGAGCAACAGAGTATCTTATCAATGTTCCACGTATTTAGTGAAATCCTTTTTACATAATCTCACACTAAATACCAGTGTGATATTTTTACTAATCAAAGAGAGATTAAATTGGGGAAATTTAAAAAAGGAACATACTGCAAAAAAACTGGATGCGATTCATTATTCACTGTGGTCCAGTATGCAGTCCCCATGAACATCCAGTACCATGTGCCAGAAAAGGGTATGTATGTAGTGCAGACTGAAAGATTTCATTTTAAACTGCTGGTGAGAGAGAATTTTGAAGGGTAAGATTTTAATATTCCAAAATATAACATGGAGGTTCTTTTTGTGGACAGAAACACCCACTCCGTCTTAGAAGCTTATTTAGCTCAGTGTGAATGACAACCTGGTGCATACAGTTTCTGAGAGATCACCTTTGTCTCATCAGGATGTTGAGAACCCCCATTTACAAAAAAAATGTGCATCTTCATAACATTTGCAGGGTTACAGACCAACAAACTATGAAGTAAGACTTCTCCCACAGCATGAAGCAAGTAGCCTTTCCCAGTGAGTGTATCATGCAGGTTTAGCCAATTATTAAAAGCAAGCCGTGACAGGTAAAAGCAGGAAGAGGATGCCTGGGGAACAGAGATTTGTATAAAGGTTAGAGGCAGCACGGGCAATATTGGTTGCAAAAGCAATCAGGCAAAGACAAACACAAAAAAGGACGATTACATCTAACTACACAATACATACTACATGACATGGATGAAGACTTCAACAACACAACATTTTAACACTGCAACAGCAATGGATACTGAATACATCACCTGCAATACCACCACAATATGGAACTGGGTATCAACACAATGAAGGCATATTACAGCAAAAAAGACCTCACAACAATCTCCCAGTCCACAGTTGGGGAAACAAATTTCTCATTCAGGGTTGTTTTTTAAATACTTTTACTGCTTTCTGAGCACATTTAAACTGCTTGAAGTCTGCACTGAAATTGGTTTTTACTGACTACATACATCCAGCCTGTATAAAGGAGGACAATGAGCATATCTGGTTTGGAATATAACACTGCCCATTTAGCAGTGCGAATATGGTGACATCCCAGATAATAATAGTCTTGATCCCCCCTGAATTCCTGGTTTTTCTTGTTTCCTACTTTGCTCTTGGAAAATAAAGAGAATTTAATCCTCAGGCTTCTACTATCAAATACCAGTTTTCAATTTGGAGAGTTATGAAACAGCAACAGGCAGGGGTGATAACAGGAAAGACAGGATTAACAGAAGGAAGGAAAAGATGCTGCTGAGTGGAAGGACAAGAAAAGAGAAAGGAAGCTGTCTACTTTATACACATGACAGCAGCTAGTCGGCCAGCAAATAACAGCTGCCACTCAGCAATACTTCTGTCTCCTTGAAAAACAAGTTTAGTTATTTACAAGCTGTATTTATTGGTTCCTTTCTCCCATTTCTATTAAATATCTGACTTAAAATTAGTATTACCAGCATTCACTGGATATAAAGCTTTTAAATACTCTCAGCCTCCCAGCCTTCTTTTTTCATCACGAAAACGTGACGGAGAACTACAGAACTATAACAACTTATTTGAATATAATGTATCTGAAATAAGCCTGCCCTCACAGCTTTACCTACCTACAGATGAATGCTTGAAGATCAGAGTCCCATTATTTTCAAGAAAAGATGTCTGGTGGTATAGTAATTCTCTCCTGCTTGTAATGAGATAATTTGCTGCACCAGAAAGCACGTTGCTGGGTATCTTGTTTAAAAAATACCCTACACCAAAACTAAACAAAAACCAAACACCACCCCCAAAACATAACATTAATAGAAAAAACTAGGGCTCGGAAGGAACTACAAGAGTGCATCTAGCCCATTCCTTTCCCCATCAGGATAAATTGCAACTCCATCATCCCGGGCAGATGTAGTATCACTTTTCAAAGACTTCTAGTGCTGAAGTGTTGCAGTGTTGTACTATCCCTAGGAATATATTACAGTGTTTCACCTTTTTTTTCTAAATAGTATTTCCTAATACTACTTTGACACTCTTTTCTAATAGTGTTAGTCCAGATTGAAATCTGAATCTTGGTTGAAATACTGAATCTAATAGTCCAGATTGAAAATGCAATTTAAGTCTAATACCTGTTCTGTCTCCCATGGACAAGGAAATCCTGGGGTTTTGCCTCTAACTCTTTGTACAGCCTTCAAAACTATTTAGGTTACAGTGGTATTCTCCTCCTTAAACAAACCATCCCAATTCCTTCTCTCCCTCCTCACAGGACACGTTTCCTTAAAGCATAGCACACAAAAATGGTCAAAAGATTCTCCTAGGTCAGCAATGACAGCGATCCCATCTAGCATGTTTTGGATGTTGTAACATAAGAAGAGAACTTTGTGCGTAAGACTCGTACAATACTCTTAATTTATGTCATAGACGATGAACAATATCGATACCAGAGTTAAGAGTAAATAAGAGTATTGCCAGGCCTCAGAAAGAAGAAACATTTAGGCTGAATTTAGGCCAAATTATTTCTTCTGCGAACAACAATACAGACTGTTTCTTTTGTTATAGGAATGGTTAAAAAAAACCACCTCTAAAGAGTAGTCACATGATGGGTATTTTCTTGCTGTTTTCAAGAATGGCAAAACAGGAACGCAGGCACTAGTTTTCTTCAGTGATGTGATTAAGTGTAAGCTGTCAAGAGCATTTTACTTTAAAGGTATAGATTTTAACACAAGTAAAATGCAAATACAGGCAGTGGAGCACGGTATATGTAATAATATAAAAGTGAAAGTCTTCTAAGTGTGGTTCAGCCTGTTAGCTCTCCTTCCATCTGTAACTGCCTCAAAGCAAGTATTTCAGTCTCCTGGGGCTCTCCAATATGCTCTATCCAGAATTTAGCTTTGCCAGCAACTTACAAAACATGAACGATGCAGTACTTTGCAATTTTACTTGTCATGGCTGCACACAGCCTTTGTAATGACCCCCCTAACTCTGCTTCTTTCAGTGGCTCACAATTTTAATTACTTGACAGCACAAAGCTCAGTCCTAGTTAGGCTAAGCTAGCAGACCCAAGAACTGCTACTTCAGCCACAGCAGAGGTAGACATTCCTTGGCTCACACCTTCAGGCTTTGCTAAGGAGCCAACTTTGCTGCCATCAGGCAATTAGCATGTCACAGTCTGTAGTATCTTACTTTGAGTGAAGGTACTAATGACATGTACTGGAATATTTATCTAGCTTATGTATCTCCTGGGAAAATTTCAACAGTCTTCAGGACCTAAGCAGATGTAGTCTTAAGCAGAATTGCTTCTCACAGAGAATGTTATTTAGAGAATATTTAAATATTTGCTCCCTTCTGCGTTTGCTGTGTCAAAAAATGTCAAAAGGCTAACACAAGAGCCTGGTCTCTACATAACCCATTCACACTAACACACTACATGCGATATCGAAACAGTCCAATGAATTATTCCTGATTAAAATATAAGAATAAACAAAATGAACATTTCTCTAGTTAGTGAAAGCAATGAAGGATCTGTCAGTTTCACCAAGAATTATTTGCTAGGGAAATTCACCTTGCAGAGTTTCCAGGCACAGGAAAATTCATCTCCAAACTATGTCAACAAAGTTATTAAAAAATCACCATTCTTCAGAAAATGACAGTAGGAAGCAGCCCACCCTCCAGAAATAAATTCGTATTAAGCAGAGCTTTTCTGTGGAGCCTGACACATTCTACCAACACTAAGGTATATATTGCAGATACTTTACTCCTCTTTGAGTGCTGATACTTATAGAGATCCAGATAGATAAACAAATGGCTAGAAAAGCAGAATAAGAATAAAATTCCTAGCCAAATAATAATGTCAGGTTACTTAAATAGTAACTTAACTTTTACTATACATGTATATAGCAAAATCTTCAATAACACTGTGATACCACCCTACCTTCTGCATTTATAAGCCAATAATTTATCGTGTAACTTCATATTCTATAGAGATGAGCTGCTAACCAGTCATTGTAAATGATAAAGAAAAATTAAAAGATGAAGTCTACTGCACTGTCATGCAAATCACTTCGTGCTGATACACAATATATTCAAAACAGTTGCCACCTGCCTCCTTCAAAAACAGGGTAACATTGGTTTGGTTTGCCTTTTTAACCATTTGTCTTGTTTCAGTCAGTTCAAATTTTCACATGATCATTTCATACAGGCACTGAAACAGTGTGCAGTCTTCAAAGACTAAACCCACATCTTTCCTTATGAGAGCAGACATTTAGCTCTGAAGAAAAAAAAAAAAAGAATAAAAAAATCACTGAAAACTCAATGAGCTGCATGCTCCTATCAACATTCCTCTTAAGTGATAGGTGCCAATGGTGGCAGGTGACAACTTTGAATTTTATACTTAAAGCTCTGACTGTATTTAAAGCACTGTATTTGTAAAGGTTATAAGGTTCAATATTGCCCGTGATACCACAGACCCATCACCCTCCTTAAAATGAGCAGTTTGATCATTTCTGCTCAAACCCCCCATGATTAGAGCACCTCCCTGTGCTGCCAGTATTGAGAACAGGGACTGTACCGTCCGGCGTTGCCTGCTGACGGGGTTTTTTACATTTGACGTAATCGTGGTCAACTGGAGTGGCTGTGTAAGGTGGGGATGTCAGACCTGGACCGCAGGAGGAGGGGAGGGAAGTCCCAGGGCCTGGCACCGTTCCAGCTGAAGAGTGAGAGTCTTCATCAATCATGCAAGTTTTTTCCCTGGGACAGGCAAGAAAAAGAATAGTGTTAACATACTAGGGACACACATGAAGATCAAAAGGAGACTACACGTTCTTACGATGTTCCCAATACAGTCATCAAATCTTACTAGCAAATTGTAAACGATGGATTTTTAGTACAGGTTATATTCCTGCATTGTCACTGGTCAACAGTAAAACTTTCTTTACTTTGTAGTTGTTAATGAGACAAATTATGAGGACTAAAGTCTCTTATCCTTTAAAACAAAGGCCATTTGCTTTTGCATTGTTATTAGTTGATTAAAAAATAAACTTATTAAGATATAAAACCAGTGGCTTCAAAATGGGTCACAAGATAAAAATTGTTCTCTTTTGCTCCTTTCTCATCTGCCATGGGCCAATTATTGAGAACATCTCAACACATCATTATAATAGTCTTACTGTTCATGGTACCTGAAAACTCCAAGCATTAGAATTAATTCTAATCATGGTGTTTTGTTCACATTTCATTCAGCTTCATTTCAGCAGTTTATTATACAGTATTTATTGGTATGCTTTCAGAGGATAGTCCTGGAAATTAACACTCACTTTTCTGCAACTTTTGGGGTGTTCTTCTCCTCACCCCGGGCAAATGGTCCCTCAGAAGCTTCCTTCATGAAACTAACTAGTATCTCTGCATCTACTCCAGAGTCTGGTTTCCCCACAAGTTTCAAAATAGAAGCATGAAGTCGAAAGTATACCTAGAAAACACCAAAGTCCATTTGGTCAGTAGAGAATTCGTAACTCTGCAACTTAGTACAAATAGCCTCTTCTCTGAGGAAACCATAGGATTTAGTACAGTCAGTCATCTGTTACCTAAACTTACCTGAGTAGGACTTTTCTTGCCTTTGAAAGTTGCTTATAAGTTACAAGACAGTGAACACTGCAAAAATTTTATGCAACCTATGGAATATAACAATGACAGCAGACCTGGTCTGCCTGGAGGCAAAGCACCACTGAGTATGTTCCAGACCCACTATTTTTACCAGCCAACACAATAAAAGCAAAGGCATGACTACTATTCCAACTCCTACATGAACTTCTGCTTTTATAGATATGAGATGCTTCTGAAACCTACACATTTGATTTTGATAAAAGCTGACTAATGAACTGAGTACAGCAAAATCCAGAAGTGGGATTTCTGCATGCCTGTCCAGTACTGAGACTGTATACATAAACAGTCTTTTAAACAAAACCAGCCTGACTAACATGATCCATTTTATTCTCCAGTCACTCCTGTTAATGTTCCCAGGTGCAGAGCACCATGTACTTATGCCTAATAATATGAACTAATAATAACTGGTATTCCGCTATCTGTAGAGAACAAGGTTTTCAAACCTACATATTTAACTTTCTTTTACCTCCAACGCTTCCATGGCAAGTTCTGGTGGATTATGATAGTGAATTTTCTTTGGGTATCGGGCAGCCTCCTCATGCAAGTAATGGCCTGCCTGTTTGTAATGCAGCAGATAGACAACAGGAGGCTGTTTCTGCTTCTCTGCAATCTTTCCCAGCATGTAATGAATAAGCCACTCCTCTTCATCACCATCTCCCTCACAGCGAGATGCTGACGTAAAACACAACTTGGCTGTCTCCAACATACTGTCCCGACGCTCTTCCATCTGTGATTGAACAAAGTGTTGAGAATACATGAATTCACTGTGCTGGGATGAAAGGTTCTAGAAATATATTCCTGTGTATAAAATTGCATAAACAAGGTATATCATTTAAAATACTTTCAACCTGAACATATCCAAGTGATCAAATATACCCTGACAACACATAAAATGTGTTTATGGATAGGCTTTTGTTCATTTCAGTAACTGCTGACACAAATAACCAGAACAAAACAGTAAGACAGAAGTGTAAGAATATGCATATAAATCTGAAAAATACCAAACCAATATATACGTCTACAAAATTTTTTCCACTTTTTCAGAGCTGTAATTATGTTAACTCTTCAAAGAATAAAAGACATTTTTGTTCTGCACCTAAAGTCTGCCAGAACCACTACAGACCATTATCATTTGTGAAGAAATGTATTTTATCTGTCTCACAGTGCATATAATTTTGAGCTGAATATTGCAAGAATACCCCCCCAATGTATCAAAGAAATTAAAACCAGCAGCATAAATTAAACTGCCAGTAAAGTCACCTACAAAACTACATCAAAAGATGCATACATGCAATTTTCTCTCTCTGAAAAAGAAACTGATAAATTTAAATTCTTGGGTTACAACAGTAACCTCAGCACTTGTTGCACTTCAAAAACTGTAACACAACCTTCCCTTTCTAAACATTTTGTAATGAGAAGAGAATAAAGGTTTTATGTATGAGAAACACAATACTGATGAATGGAGATTATATTGTTCCAATTTATTATAATAGAGCTTTTCTTAGTAAATATGTGGATTTAATATATTCAAATGGAAGAGTCAACTAGTCCTAAACAAACATTCTAATTTCATCCACCACCTAAGATAGCTGTTCTGTATTGTACCTTTTATCTGATAATACGAAATAACTCCAGCACTAACCCTGGAATTCTCCAGCAAGTCCCGCATAGCCAAGAGGCCGAAAACAGTTAACATCAGAGTTTCAATAGATCAAATGCATAAAAATGTAATAACTTAATTTTCTGAGTAGTTACTTTTGGAGCTCTTGGATGTAATAACCCTCAGAAGGAAACCCCTATTGTTAGTTGTCATTTCAAATATACTACTTAATAAACCACGTTCTCCTTTAATACGCATGCTTACACCATCTTTCTTCTTTAGAGGGTCAAACACTATGCAAGTGTCTATGGGACATTCAATGCTCAGACGCAAGACACATCACGTTGCTGTAAATACGTTCTCTTGGAAACAAAGGACGTTCCCAGTACCACTTCTCTACAGTTCAAACGCTCAAAGTTTTTTACAACTTACAGCAGACACCCAGGAGCACTTCTTTTTTTCACTCTGCTTCCCGTTGTGGACTACATAATATTTTTAAGTGAGAATAGTTAAAGCAGAAATAGTTTACTGGTCAAAAAAGACATACAAAACATTTCCTCTAGCAACTTTTATCCCTGTCAGAGAGGATTCAGAATTGTTCACTTTGTCTTAGCAATAAACTTCAACTTTTCCAGCACTGTCATGCAAAAAGAACTAATGAATTTGTAACTTTTCAAATGAAAATTCTATCTATCTCCTCTTTTTGATCTTTTGTTTAAGTAAATAGTTCCAAAACATAGAAAAGGGTGAAGGATGTCTTTAGATATAAGAGACAAAGTATGACGCAGATATCAGAGTAATTCCTGATCTTTTCACTATATGAATATGTATGCATTTCACCTTTTCCTGAAAACATTGTATGACATTTACAGAAAGATAAGGTAATTCTAATTCCCCTATCCAGAATGTTACAAAAGTTAATTCAAAGATCAGGCTCAAACTAATTCTACATGGGAAAAAGAAAAAGCCTTTAAATACTGCTGACACCAGCAGATTATATGAATGAATATTAGAATTTCCAACATTACTAAGTAGCCATACAGTCTAATATCTGGTATAAAGCATGTAAATATTTAATAGTTACTATGTTAGAAAATATCATTTAAAATAGTTAAAACTTAATAGTCCACTCAGTTAGATCCCACCTGCTGTACAACTTCAGGGGGGAGTTCTGATTTCCACTGCTTAAGCTGTCGAGATGCAAAAGAATGTAGGGCATAAGAAATGGTGCCATATTCTATCCACAAGGAGAGATTAGAGCTGTCAATCTCCAGGGCTCGCTTGAAGCAATTCAAGACAGGAGTAGAGTGCTTCCAGATTGGGCCGTCGCTTTTCAACTCGTTAGAGTTCAACTTGTCCTGAATACGACTTGCTCGAGCCAGAGCCATGCCAGCCCACGAATCAAACCTATGCAAGCAAGAGTGTAACACATAAACCATTTCCCCCCTAAACAGTACATTGAATGGCACAGACAAGATTAATTTTGTTGTATCTTTTCTCTTCCTTCCATCGTACTCTCTTAAAAAAAGATCTCTACATCTCCTCCCTTCACAGTGAAACAGAGGCAGTATAGCCTAAATCAAACAGATTTTATTAAATATGGTTTCCTACTAAAGCACTGTGCCAAATGTCATGTCACACATGAAAGTTAAATGAAACAAGGTTTATCTGCCATGCAAAAATAGCATTTCTGTACTTCTAATGGCAGCACTCCCATCGATTTATTTTCTCAGTAACCACCCTGTCCTGTCCAAACATTGTCACCCTACATTTCTGTAGGCCAGCGGACAGCCATTATGATATTTTGTATTGTTAGACTGAACTGTGAATGGTCTTTATCCTCATCATCACTTTCCAACATAAAATCACAAAACCTAAAATGCACGCAGTAGGAAAATTCTGATGAACGATGAAGACTGTTTACTGAGGGGACAGGACTGTTCAGGATCTAGTCCTGTGTTTATGAGATCATTGACGATACAGTCTGAAGAGTAGTTTCTGTATTCCACAATCTCACCTGACATCTGGGGTCATCAGCCCTGGAATTGATCAATTTTACCATAATTCTAACAGCAAAGAAATAATCATAATGTTCTAATTTTTTTGCTTGTAATTACTTGCTGATTTCAATTGAAAACCTATTTCTAGGTCAAGTGACCTCAATAGTCAGATTCCTGAAGGGAATGGAAGGAGAACTGTAATAGACATGTGAAGATGTAGTATCTCATATGACTAGGATAAAAATACTGTGCTACCACATAAAGCATCTTCTGAGCAACAAAACATCACACAGTGAAATGCATTCCACTCATTTATTTATGCATTTAGGTATAAAAGTACGAAAGCTACAGAAAAATGGGGGATGGCAATTTCTTTACCAAGCTTCAAACAGAAGTTTTAGCAATCTGCTAATCAGAGGTCCCAGACAAGAAGATTCATTAACACTAAATTACAGCTATTTCCTCTGTAGATTTCACATGTAAAATTGCTTTGTGCCTTCACCTTCCCTTTTGTCTCTGTCACTGGATTTAGAAGTAGTTTTCTTGTCTCAAATCTATCAAACTAGGGGTTTGTCACTGACCCTGAGCTCTCAACTTCAAGGAGAACTAAAATGAAAGCTAACATCTAATATGCAAACCCTTCAGTAAAATTAAAGATCATTTAATTTCATTTGAGAAAACTTTTATTCAAAACAGGTTTTATTTTTAAGATGGCAGAGCTTAATCTTGGTGGTATTTCAGTAAGTTGTAAATTACAAAGAAACAAGATGTTTAAGCATCACCGAAATATTTTACTTGAGTTTGTATTCTTTGAGTAGTTCACTTGCAGCAAGACCAATACTTTTGGAAAGGTATCAGCCTAAACAGTTAATCACCTACAGAACACTATTTGTGCTATAGCTATGCTACTAACAGTGACATTTTTCATTCCTTGTCATGTATGAACATGACGAAACAAAGAACAAAAGGTGCAGAAGAGAAATATTACTTGGTCCTTGCCCTTCCCAGATATTCTTGATTTTATCATTTCATTTATCAGCTATAATTTCAGAACAATCAAATACTTAACACTAGGTTTTGTTTTGTCTTTTTTTGGGTTATTTTATCGAGACACTCAATTATACAATAAACCTATAATAATGGATTGCAGGCTTTTTAGTTTGGGGTTTTTAAACTCCTGAAACCAAAATAAATATCTTTTGTTGTCTGCCTTTTAGTACTGAAAGAAGCGAAAAGAATGAATGAAGTGCATCAGGAATCAGTACTACTGACCTGTTCGGACAAATACAAATGTCGTGCATGTAAAATTTAATGGCCTTAGACTGTTCTTTATTCTTGAAATGATAGTCTGCCAGAAGATAGTACAACTCAGTCACCACTGGTGGAGAATAGTCTGCACCATCTGGGAGAGACGGTACCTGAGAATAAAAAAAAAGTAAAGGTTCATGTTAAATGAAACAGTCACATTAAAGGAGCTGCACACTTCCTTCTTCCTTGTAGTGAAAGTAGCCTTCCCATCACCGAACACGAAGGTAGAATCTGAAGACAGTGACAGCATCCCACAGATTCACAGAGCACTTACAAACACTAATGAACATCTCATACTGACTGCATATTAATCAATATTACCTCTTGCCGTTCCAAGACTGAACTTTGGTGGTGTCATTTAATTTAAATTATCTGAGGAAATCCAACATCATGGAATAAATAATTCCCCAAACTATCTCAAAGTCAACGCAAAAATAACAACATTTTTTACTCCTCTCGATATTTTTTAAAAGCAATTAATTATACCTTGCTGCAAGCTCCTTCAATATAGGCAGATACAGTATCTAGGCTCAGCATAGGCTTGTCTGTTCGAGGAACAATCGTAGCAGTCTTCTTCAAAAGGTTGGCTAAATCAGCTGACACAGTACTGGTTTTATAGCTATCAAATTCTGGAAGAGTTTTAGGCTTAAAATATTCAAACATGAACAAAGCATCTTCCCATGTTAGATCAACCTGAAGAGGGAGGTAGATGAGAGGAGAAAAATAATCCTCAAATTCCACAATCAGAAGTCTACTGATGAATTTCTATGACTATTCTAGTTCATGCGAATATACGTATTACTCTAGCAAGAAACCAATTAAACCTCCCAAGAACAAAACAACTAAAGGCACCATTAATTTATGCTGCTCACAAATATAACATACAGCTCACTGATTTAAAAGACTAAGGTATTTGAACTGTAATTCAGTGTATGTCACTGAAAAATAGTCATCCTGCTTGCTCAGAAGTTGTTTCTAAGCAGGAATCAGCTGCAAATATCCTAAGCAACACAGATCTTAGGTAAGATATGGATAAGAAAAGCTCTACACCTTCAATTTCAAACTCCAGTTAGAATAAATGAAATGGGAATCAGACAAAATTCTGAGACTCAAAAATCTTCAAACTCTCTAATTTAAGAATTTATTTCACATTTTCCTTTCGCTTTTCTTTCTTGAAAACAGTAATAAAAAAAAATAAATTACACTTTCCTTTGCTAGACTGTTTTTCTCTTTTTATTGTTCATCTTATTCCTTACAGTAAACTTTGCTTCTGTGCTCAAAATGGGAAAGTCATATTAGTAAACATCAATTTAACATTGACTTCAATAAAAACTTTCTCATCCAGAATTGCCCAAATATAAACATTTATTTTAGGAGTCTGGGGGCAGAGGGTAATCTTATACATCCCTTTTTCTTTGTTATTCCCATGTTCTCATTATCTTCCTTTTCTAACAGATAAGCTTACTAGACTGAATTCACAAATATTCAATGAATAACATAATAGTATTTGTGTATTGTAAAATGTCAGTTCAACGAAGCCAAACAGTTATTTTCCTTGTATGAAACTGCTTTTAATTTCTAATTCTATGATCACTTGCATTTGGTAAATGCAAAAATCATCTGAGATTTCTGAACAAAATCAGTGCTGTTTCAAGGCAGAGTATTGCTGACCTGCTTTTTCTGTCCCTTTCTTATTACTTCAATGCTCTTCCCAAGGCATCTGTAGATGTTCTCCCAAACTCAACTGAATTTCACATATTTCTGATAAAAGGCTACCAGATGGATTTCAAAATAAGCTATAATATAATTTACTTGCATAATTTTTAACAATGACATTTTTCACTTTCACAAACTGTAGGGCTGGCTGCTAAAGTTTTCTTCTCTCAAGCTGACTTGTTTTCCTTTCTAATTTTCCTCAAGCTCGAACGTCTTGTCTGTTGAAAACAGGAAAGTCATGGCTCAATAAGACTGATTTGTGAATAGCTTCAAAATGGCACACTACTATGACTATGACTACACTAGCATTTCACTTTAAATATCTTTATATTCACAAAGGCTTCCACATTTTTTTCAATTATTTTCTGCAATATGTAAAATACATAAATTTTACAAGGAAATAAAAGTAATCTTTCTCCAAAATATAATATCTGGCATTCAAACCAAACAAAGGTGTATCTTCCATCACTTCAGGATATTCCACTAACATTAAATAATACATATCTTACCTGCTGTACTGAATGTTCTTCTAGGTACCTTGCTTTGCTTTTTTTGCTAGGGAAACCATATAAACAATAAAAACACTGTTCCAAAGCTGTTTCCAGCTCTTCTTTGTATGGATGAGTATCTTCAGAAGTGGATGCTGCAAGTTCTTTTTGTAGTACCTGAACCTGTAACATCACAAATACCAATGAAAAATATCTGGAAGCTGAAGACTGCATGAAGTTGCCTAGCTGTTGGAAGGCTAACAATGAAAACAACATTAAGGCACTACATGTATTTTTCCCAAATTACAACCCAGTATTACCCATATTTCTGTAAACCCATCTCACACAAGTAATTTCAATGGCACTGGAATGGCAATCAAGTGGTTTCATTTTTTATTTTCCTATATTAATTTACGAATTCTTGTCTTTAATCAATGTGATTTGATATCAGCTTAATGTTTCAGACTGGAGATCATTCAAAGCTTTCCACTGCACACCAAGTTCCTTTTGTCACCCCTGTGAATAAGAAAAAGTTACCAAAGAATTTCTACCCTAATTCACAAACATTCATTTCCTCTGCATGGAAAAAGAGCGATGGAAAGGACTTTGTGGAAGAAGAAACGACAGCTAATGAAAATCTGACTGAAATGGGTGGAGAATTGCACAGTATGAACAGTATCATATAGATAGCTACACACCAAGGAGAGTGTCTGGGTTGATCCCAAATTACTAAACACTGTAGCAAGTTGCTATCTTTAACTTCAACGTTACAAGAAAAAAATACCCATCAGTAGCACATTTTGGAAGATGTTTTTTACTCTAAAACATTCATTAAAAAAGACCTGCAACTGAATGCCAAAGATGAAAGGTAATTCTGTCCTTAAAAAGCAAGCCAAAAAAGAGCACATTCCAGGAAGACATTTCAAAGTCAATCAAAACATATTCACCAAGAATAATCTGTGTAGTGGGATTCTGGATCTTCATTTCAAAACCAAAACAAAACCCACACTTAATCACTGATGTTTAAGAATCAGTTTTAACTTATTCCACTATGAAATTTAAATGAAAAAATGAAATGTGTAGGTAGCAATGACATTCATTTTACCTTAAACATCCAACAGCAATATGTTGTGTATGCATCCCCAGCATCAAAGCAGACCTAAAGAAAATTCATTTGAGGTGGTAGAAGTGCTGCTGCTGTAAATCTCATTTGGGAGACTGAAGGGTACAGAAAAATACCAAGTTCTTCACTGTGATATGCCTCTAAAGTTTTAGGAAGCTGTATACTACCAGGAGAGTTCTATTAACTGGTAAGTAATTTCCTTTATGCATTTTCCTAAAAAAAAAATCCACTTTCATTTATTCAACTTTAGTAGGACCAGCTTCTCCCAACCAGCCACGCCTATTCCTCAGCACACTGATTAAGAGTTTCCTCAATGTCCTGGGTTCAGCAGTAGCAGTCATTTTTCTCCTTCGTGGTAGCTGGTGCAGTGTGGTGTTTGACTTCCAGCCTGGGAACAGTGCTGGTGATACTGATGTTTTCGGCTGTTGCTAAGTGATGCTTGCCCTGACCAAGGACTTTGTGAGGCTCATGCTCTGCCAGGGAGGAGGGGAAGCCGGGAGGAAGCAGAGACGGGGTGCCTGACCCAGGCTAGCCAAAGAGGTATTCCATACCACAGCACGTCATGCCCAGGGTGGGGGGTAACTGGGAGTTGCTCTCAGCCCGGCTCCACTCACTGGGAGTGAGTAAACAAGCTGTTTGGCTAGGGTTTAAACCACGACACCCAACTGAAATTTTGCAGTTATAAATGAAAAATGCAAAGCATTCACCTATTTGCAATTTGTATAAAAGATTATCTTACTTTTACTTTAGCTACCTGCTCCTTTTTCAACATCTAGGATTGTAAATTCTATTATTTATGCAAACAATGCACGGTACAAGAAGTTTCTCGTCATGACTGGCTTTCCTGACACAAAACACTGCACATCATCACAAGGCAAAATTCTGTCACTCTTCATGTAAGAAACTTGGTTGTAAGTGCTGGGATTAACTATTAGATGTTAACTCTCTTCTGCTTAAAAGATCTGCGCTAAGAACAAAGTGCCATTTATTAAGAGCCAAACCCCTGAACAATAAGAGTAAAGACAATTCTTAGAAGGCACTTCAATGACATTTTGAGTCACAGCAATCATCTTTTGAGTCACAGCAGACACCTCATTTCCACTACTTTTCCTGTACAAATTTATGAACAAAGTTTGAAATTTGTAGAAAGTGTAGATAAATAAGTTAAAAGGAAGATGTAAGATCACAGGATACTCCTAATAAAAGCACGGCATTTCTGCTGCTGCTCACAAAATCACATCTAACACCACTAACAGAACTCTCACTTGAACAGTATGAAAAACAACCTCCTGTGTTCTTCATTAGCTTTTAAAGTCTTGGCAATAACCCAGAACTGGTCTTCATAATTCAAACTTTGACTGCTCTTAAAGGACTTAACTACATATTAATCTCTTGCACACAACCTTCAGCCACAAGTAATACAATGTGCTTGAGCAGCCAGGTCATCTATAGAAGGTTTTATAGACTAATATTACATGATGACACTTTTAATATTCTTGAAGCTGTCTTTCTCTTCAAATGATTAATCCTATTTTTATCCTTCCTTATCTTTCCAACATCTGCTTGTTTCTGAAAACTAAATTCTTGGGCTCAATAACATGATACAATATTTTAGTTTAAATGCGCAATTCTGCAGCCGAAAATAGAAGATTTTTTCCAAAGTACCTGATGACATTTGCAAAGATCTAGCTGTAAACGCATTCACAGCTCTCAATTATCTGCAATTTATCCTGGTTCACAGGCCATACTCTGACTCCCCAGGCTGTGGATACAGGCACACTACAGATACAAGTAGATTCATCACTCAGGAACACTGCACCTGAGTTCAAGCTCAAGTGTGGAGACAAGCTATTTATTTTCTTGAAGCACAGTGCTAATCCACCCTCTGGACCCAAGGCAGATCCATGCAGAGGCAGTTCAGGTGTATCAGCATTATGCTCCTAATACCAGTGAGACTGAGGAGAGCAGGATGCAGAGGTAATCTAATAGCCCTACGCTGAGTCAGCCTCAGTTCAAACACTGTTCATTAGCTCCAGCCCTACCAGGGTGAGCTGACTCCTGCAGAACCCCTCAGGCTCTCCACGCCATCCTTCCCAGCTGTCTAAATTACTGTCCTAGACATGCTGCTGCTCAAATGCAGAGGCAGATGGGGTCTGGCACTGAGCTGAAGCTAATAAGCTCCAGGGAGTGCTGAGAAGGGAAATTAAACTAATCATGATTTTCTCTTGGCTGAAGGTAATAAACCTCAATGAAGTCAAGCTGAATCTGTGAAGTGCCACTGTAATATCCCTGTAGAGCACTGCCCAGTTAACTGCCATGGTACCAAATTAGTTGGGGTTTTGCCAACAGCCAAGTTTTGCCAACAGACTGTCAGTACTCTGCACAGGGAAAAGCTGACTGCACTTTGGTTTCTAAGCTAAGGGTAAGGTGAGGAAACAGCAAAACACATAGAAGTATCCTCCTTCAACCATGGGAAATTTCTTTTCTGGTGTAAGAACTAGACATTAAGGAATAATCTTCAAAAGGTCAACAACAAATGGGTAACTGCTTTCATCTAATAATGCTACAGCACTACTGCCCAGACACCCATTTCTGGAGCATATTAGATCTTCTAACATGCCCATCTGAACAACAGAGCAAAGAACAGCCTTCAGACACAGGACCAGAGTAATCCTTCATTCTCTTCACCCTTTGTTCAACACCTGAAGTTACATTTAGGAATTGTGTATCTGAAGTTACGTTTAGTTAGTAACATGAAAACAACAGAAGTACTATTTTTTCAGTCTGTGGTATAAAACCAAGGCAGGTGTAATCAAACAAGTCAAATTTATCAGCAGAACAGCCAAACATATCACAGCTTCAGGACGAAATTCAGGTAACACCACACGGACTGTGTGTAAAATGTTGCTGCAAGCAGGGCAGAGTTGTGGCTGAGCTACCACACAAAGAAGATAAAACTGGAAATAGATTCAGTATCAGGTATTCCCTTCCCACAAGTCACAAGCAGTTTTATATGTTCATCAGCAAAAATAAAGCCCAATGTTACCAGTCATCTGGATGAATGCTGGTAAGCACTAGAAATTTTTATTAGCTTCAAACAGTACATCTGTTTACTTTTAAAGAGTAGAAATGTTCTCTTTTGAAGCTAAGCATCACAAAGTTCAAGTCATTCAACTGAAGTTTTACCAGGATCAGTGACTGATACAGGCCCACATTTCTCCTAAGTACTCAGAATAATCACTTAACACTTCTCCCATGCTTTCTCTTTCAGGGCAAGGTAAATCATTTACTTTATACATCCCGTGCAAGATGTTTTTACAGTACAGAGTTAGTTATCCAAAGACATTTCTTATCTGACGAAGACTCCTGTTTAGAAAACATACCTCTGGACAGGGGTCTGGAATAACAAGCCTTTGCTATTCAAAATTAACTGACTGAAACATTCACGCATGGGAGAAGAAGGAAAGTAGCTTTAAAAGTGCATTTTAAACATGACGACAAGGCAATAAACAACCTAATGTAAGTTTGAAATTGTTCCCTGCTTTGAGACAGGGCTTAGCCAGATGACTTTCAAGGGTCCCTTCCAACCTAAATTACTCTATGACGCTAACACTTACATAGAACTTGAGAAGAGCACCATCTGAATTGCAACACCAGGATCTTCTTCCCAAATACTCATGAGCAGTGTTCAGCAGCATCAGAGAAGAAGGCAACATAGGGGTATCAGGACTCACTGGAAGAAAGAAGATGGTAAATAATTTAAGTAGCACAGAACTGAGTTAAATCGAACTAGCCAATGCTTCACCTGGCAAAAGAAGTTTCCTCTGTGATAAGAAAGTGATGTTTGCATACCCCTCTACTTCCTTCAGTCAACAAGGTAAGATGACAAACAATTATTTTCTTGTTGATATTGCCAAACAGTAAGGAGCTTAGCTCCAATATGTAAAACAGAATAACTAATTCACCTTCTTCTCCCTGGTTCTGCTGCTGCTGGCAGCAAAGGGATTGAAAAGCATCTTCCTCATGCTGGATGATTCTGTGCAGGATTATCCATGGAAGCACTGAGGAGACATATGGCTCTTTTGGTTCTTCCTGGACCGCCATGCTGCAGTCTATGATCTAATAAAGGAACAGACATTATACAGATAAAGTGACATGAAATAAAGGTCAGGTGTGAACCCTTTCCGAACAACCCAAAGTTGCTAAGGAAGCCTCCTTTATCCTAAGGAAACAATCTAAAATTGAGTCTGAGCTTCTCATAGGCAATAAAAATCCTACAAATAAGATTACCCTGGTACAGGAAAGAGTAGAAGATCATTTCCCCTACCCTAACATTACTCTTGCATCATTATTTTCCAACAAGTTATTTCTCCATTAATACCATATACAAACAATTCAAAGTAAGCAAATGTGTGAATTCTTAGTGTTAGTAAGCCTCATTACTGTACAAGAAATTTATCTGCATCCCAGCAAGGAAGAGGAACTTAACTTAGTTATAAGAATTCCTGAATTCTTTACTGGGTCTTACAACAACTGGTAAAGACCAATTAGAATCATTAACAGATGCTGTATAAATGATCTAACTGAATAAATTTTGAGCAACACAATGCTGTGTCATGGAACCATTGTCCTAGCATTTCTCATGGACAACTGCTCATTTTACTGCCTCAGGACCAGGAATTTCAGAAGTCCTACGTTTTTCTCACATTTTTCCACACATACAACAGTTTTTCTATTGTTATTTACGCAGATAAAGAATCATTTATTTTTATTGCAGAAACCCGTTTAGGAAATTATAATGAATAATAAATTCCATTACATTCCGTAACATAGTGACACACATACAACTTTACACAATGAGAGTTTGATTCTGAGGTCCTTTGCTTTTGCTGAAATAAATGGAGATTTGAGAGTTGCAATCACATTGAATTTTGACATTAACTAGACTTGCTCCTTAATGGAACCGAGAGTCTACCATTTTCTGGAATGAAAAATATTCATTTGTGGGTTTTAAGGTTTTAAAGTACTTTGTTTAGAGGCTAAAGTTAGCTGTACTCATACCGATAGAAACAGAGACAGAAACAGTGATAGGAAAGTCCACACATGATTTTTTCCCTTGCCCTCTTGTCACCATCCTTTGTTTTTACTGCAAAACTCCATAGCTTGGCCAGCACTTGCAAGCAACTCTACCATGTTCCTAAGGCTTATGGGATCTCATCTTCTAGCCCAAAGCACATACAGCCAAGATCAGTGCCCTAACTTACAAACTGCACCCAGCCAGCAAAACCAGTCTTCAATTTACCACCATTTCAAATCCCGTTAGAAAACAGTGTTGTTCCTTAGATTATCTTATTACCACATTCTTTGTTTATGCCAGGCAGCTTCGTGGTACCTGCTGTTAGTGATCCTAGCACGGGTGTGCTCAGTATGTAGCTCATTTCTAACGTACAGAAATGAAGACTGTGACGGTAATGCTCATCCTCCCCTGACCATCCCCTAACAAAAATGTCACCCAAACCATCAATGCGAGTAGGTGGCAACTCAGACAACAGCTGTTTTGTGTCTGAAGGTCTGCAGCACACAATACCTCCTTCCTAGTGCAAGTGAACAGGTTACCTGAATCAGGTTGTTTGTTAATCGAACGAGGCTTGGTGTTACAGAAGAGTCTTTCAGGATGCTGTTGACTGATGATAATGAAGTATCTATTCCTGTGAGCAGCTGTGTTACCGTAGCAACCCACTCTTCTTTAACAGAGGCTGCTGTCATATTAATCATCTGCTGAATTGCTTCATTCAAGGCAACTTCTGAGCATTCAAAGCATTGCTTGTAATCTTTCAGTTTGAGCAGGGACTCCTAGGGAATGTAAATATGAAAAAAATCTATTATAAGAATGAAGGGCTTATTTTAAACCATGAATGCACAGCAGGGCAAAGTAACATATACAGTTAATGCGGTTACTTTAACGAAATGATAAGAGAACACCTTTAAATATGACATTATAAAAGGACAACAGGAGGTGCACGGACTCTGGATAACAAATATACAAGCAGGATCTAAATTTCAAAAAATAATCACTGAATCTTTCTGCTTTAATAAGAGATACAAAGAGAAAAATGGAAAAAAAAGAACAGGGAAGGGATGGCTGTAGGTCTAACATATGCAGTTGAATAGAGGCCCCTATAGAAACAGGGTTTGGATCTTTATGATCTTGTGCTACCATTTTATTATTTCATAAATAACAATATAGCAACTATACAGCTAGCATCATAGCAACATCCTCCTGTTTCTTTGTACTCTGCCAAGTTTGGGTCATGAGATGGCATGGAGGCTGTAGGGTTTGGTTGCATCCAGTTAAAAGAGCATCAGTCTTTTTGGTGCAACCTTCCCCCTTAATACCCACCCCCCCCCTCCCCGAAATTGTTCTGACAGCTGAGCTCATCTGTATGCTTCCTTTCATACTGTCAAATGGACTATATTTATAGCAATCACACTGGATGTGTCTATCAATAGTTTGTCATTCATGCAGGACAGATACAATACACCATAAACTCACTAAATCATTCATAGGTTAGGTAAATTTAAAGTTTCAAAACAGTGGCAAATCACCACACAGTCAACATCAGCAAAAGCAGAAACTATTCACAGCAGATGCAGATAGCATGAATCCATCTGTAAGATGCCTCTGCAAATGATTCAAGTTTATTTGAATGTACATTTTTTCTGGACATTCCACAGCAGCCTCAGACATTTTAGTATCTTTAACCACATTCTCAGTTAGCAAAAGCTGGCATATTGCTAAAGCTGTTCAAATTAAAAGTCTGGTTCCATGTTCTGGTTAACGAGTCATTTACAAAACATTAAGATCCACTCAAGAAATCTTTTCATCCAGTTTTCAGGAACACATCTTAATTCCTTAATAAAAAGATCTTTGAAGAAGCAAAACAAACCTGTAGGAGAAGCAGCTGTGCTGGTCTCTCTGGTATGGATGTTACAAATTCCAGATGTTTTGCTCTGCCATAACCATTAAAGCATAATGTTGGACGAAGCAGATGCACCACTGCATTATAATCCCCTGCCTCATACAGTCGCTGGATCTCTTCCAAAGACTGGCATCTCTCCAGAGATTTTAGGTTCTTTTCAATCTGCAAACATCACAGATGGCATAATTCAACTTTCATTTTGTCTTCGCATACATTTGACTACTGACATTTCTCCTAGCAGTAAAGCTGTGTGAACGCCACAGCTACATACAGGAATGTAAACCAGGGAGAAAACATCTACCACGTAATATGTCACCCATTCCACAGATTTGTAATTATTATGCAGTATATGACTTTAGTGCTATAATTATTTTAGACTTTTTTGCCTCAAATCCCCAAATCACACATTTCTACACTGCAAAAACACATCCATCAAACAGATTTGAAAGAGAAGACTGCATCTCCTGTGTTGGGAGTTCATCCCCCAAAACAGCAATAGGAAGAATAGAAGAACATCCCTTTGCTTAAAAGTATATGTAAATTGTAATGTGGAAAACGCTGCTGAAGAAAACAGCTTATTTAGGCAAAGGGGAAATATATGTTTAGGAAAAGAAAATAAAACACTAATCTTATATTCTACCATTCTACATGCAGCTGCTCTAATATTTTTACTTTGCATAAAAGCAATTTTAAGTTGTACAGGACCAACAGAATCAAAAGGTGTCTTTTTGAAAGCATTACAATGGCCCTGACATTATCATTGAACTATGAACCTGTCCTTTCACTCTTTGAAAAATTCTACGAGAGATGTGGTAATGCTCATCACAAATGTGCTAATTCATAGATGACCTTTGGAACTGGGAAGGATTGGAGTGGGGAGAACACACCTGCAAGTTAATTCTTACCTCTTCTAAAGAAACAACAGAATCAACATGTAGATTAGGTAACCGTATTATGATGCTGCATTCATTGCCAGCTTTAGCTTGCATTGTAGTGGAGCTCTGTAGCATTTCAGTGCAGATATCGTAGTTTTCAAGTGCCTGTTCCATGTCTCCCTACAGAAACAGTACAGAGGAAAACAAACAAAAAACCCTAGAGTTCTACTTGCAGCAAGGGTTTCTAAAGCATATAGAAAGAAAATATTTCGACTCAATGCAGGCACTACCACTGCACATCCTCCCAAATAAAAAACAAATCCAATTGACAATCTCAAATTAAAAAAAAAAAAAAAACAACAACCAGAAACAGCGTATCTTACCAGTGACTTTAGCTACGGGTAAAACAAATCAGGGAAATAGAATTCAGCTAGCATAAATATGAAATATTAATTTCGATTGCTAAAATCCCTTTCCTTTAAAAACATGGAGGAGTAAAACAGTATAAATAACTCTTCCATTTGTGCAAATAGAAACACTGAGTCAACAAGCATTCTTATATTATGCTAAGGGAATGCATTCTACTCGCTCTCTACAACTAAGAGTTGAGTGGTTCAGGAGGGGAATGCAACTGCATGGGCAAAATGTAACTTGACAATGTAAAGGAAAAATGGCAGTAGCCATATAGGAACTCTCATTTTTCCCTCAGATTCATGAGAAAGGAATCCTTAGGTGCAAAAATAAAAACGGATGGAACTGGTTAGTTCACTTTGAAAGTGATTCCTGTTATTAGCTCATGATCGACTTAAACATAATTGATGCATAGAAAAACTCTTTGATGTTCTGATAAAGCAACACTTGGAGAGGAAAAGGTTTGGGATCAAGTAAAAAGTATCTTTCAAAGTATTCCCTCAGGTTTAAAACACTCTTTCAAAATCTGCATATTAAATTAAACATCTCCAAAAAAAGAATCATGCTACCTAAAAAAAGCCAAGTGGACAGTAATTTAACATAAGAGTCTGCTTCAGTTAAAAACTGCATTTTCAACTGTCTGGGATTTTGATAGCATTCACTAGTTCAGGTCCCCCAAAAAATCCATGTTCTGCAACTACACAATACTGCTCCAAATAACTTTGGCCCAAATACACTTTTTAGGCTGAACACAAGCTAATTTAAGCAAATACTAGATCTTAAATATATCTGAATAGTAGCTTTGCACATGAGACCTCCTACTTCATTTCTACATCTACCTTTAGGGATAGTTAATTATATTAAAAAGTAGAATCTAAGTAGTCACTAAGTTTTTATCTGATTTTATCCACATGTTTAAATGAACTGAGCTTCCCAGATCAGCTGTAGCTGGTATGATTTTAATTTGGTGAAAAGTTTCATTTGTTAGATCAAAAGTAAAACCAACCTGCAGTGCTAGAAAGCGAGCTTTCAGCCAGTACACCCGAGTGACAAACTCCATCCAGCCTTCCTCAAATAAATCCTTCTGTGAGGATGCAAATGACAGCTGCAACAGGTCTCCCAAGAAATGAATTCCTGGGAAGTCAGGGCCAAACTTTCCATTCACAGAGGCAGCAGGGCAATTTCGTGGAGAAACTGCAAATCAATTCATTACCTTTTATCATAAACTTACTAGCATCCCATGAAAGGAGTCCCACATCCTAGTATTTCAACAGTATTTATCTGCTTTAAAACAACAAAAAGAAAATTATAGACCAATAAAATACAGATCTGAAAGAGATTAAGGAAAAAATAGGTCCAAAATCCAATGAATTCCTGGACACACTTCTTCATATAACTTAAGAGTTTTCAAAGTCTGAAGAAAGTAATATCCATTTCTTACCTGTAGAGCTCTTCCCCTTTGTTAGCAGCCACTGATCTAATTGCAGTTCCATGCAAGAAAGGCTCATCAACATCATATCCTTCAGAAAAAGCATGGAGACAGCAAAAAAGAGTACGCAGGAAGAAATACATTAAAAGAGGAGTAAAAAACACCAAATTATTTGAAATTTACTTCAAAGAAAACCTTCATCTTATCGTCTTGGGATTTCTATCCCCAAGCTATGACTATTTCTTCCTCTGTCTAAAGGTGTATAATAGCATTTATAGATCAACAAGTACAAAACAAAACAATACTTAGAAGAAGCCTTAAAAAGAAAAATTAAAATCTCAGCTCATAGAAGAAGGCAGTCAAACAGCATTGCCTGAGGTTAAGGAAAAAGTGACATCCCTATTTTTTTGTCTGCCTAAAATAACTTTGTATTTGTATTTATGTGAATTTGTATTCAATTGCTGAATCATGCTAAAAGCATGTTTCCAAAATATAGCAGAAGTATTGATACTTCAGAAACAAAAAGACTATATGCTGTAATTTTTTTCAGTATTTATCTCCATGAGACTGAGCATATACTCTAGTCTTATCAGCTTATTAATGCTTGCTGGATAAAGTTCAGGAGTACATTAAAAAAATCACATCACCATGGATCTCTGCCAGGTAGACTTGTGTAGTGAAGAATACACTATTTTCTGATTAAATACATAGGAAAAAGGGCTACAGGTCCAGCTGTTAAAAAAGGGTGCTTATGAAAAAGTTCAAAGTCTATACGCATTACCAGAATAGTCCTCTACAATCCTAAAAGCATCGATTTCTTACACTTAGGATAGCTTGCAGATAAAGTTTAAAATAAATTCAAGGATGAAAAAGAACAGACAAGCATGAGGACAGTGATTTTTAACACTATAGCTACAAAACCTTGACTTTCTAGATCTTTCATACAAGCGAGCAGTTATGCAGCCATAATGAGAACCAAGGGAATACATTTATAAATATATTTATATTTGTTTAACAAAGAGGATATATTTATGGAAAATATACAGAAACATGAAAGTCACAGGATGTGTAAGAGATGTAACATTTGCTACCCAGCAATGCTTTTGTCTGTTTTGTAAATTAAGTCAATGGGACATAGTTTCCATAATTCAGTTTATTTGCAAAAGAAGTAGAAATACTCTTGATCTGAAAAACAGAGTATTTCAAACTGCAGTCATACTGCATCTCAGTCTGGTGACAAAACCAAACTTTGTGTCCTATCAGAACTAAAGGGAGGGAAGTGAAAAATAAAAGAGCAACAACAGAGTAAAGGACTAAAATATATTTACATCTGTAGAGTTTATATTACATCTATATGTGTGTGTGTATGTGTATATATACACACAGATTATGCATAAGGTATAGTTGCATATAACATTACCCATGCGTGTTCAGGAGATGAGGAACAATCTGTTACGCAAGCTGCAGCAAACCATAGTTTATAAAGCTTGGACATGCAGCTCCCCAGACTGAGCTAAGCAAAACCTGCATCTAGCTGCATAAGCTAGGTACTTCTGGTACACAGAGAGCAACACAGCAGCAAAGAGAAGCACAAGGAAAAGTGTTTCATACCTTGATATGCTGATTACTTGAGTCCCTCAGTAAGGGATTAGGAAGACTACTACTATGCTTTCTCCAGCTATTATAGATACTAAGGACCACCTCACATAAGCCAGGAGGCCATTTTACTAGAAACTTCTGGCTAATGACTTTCAGATATCTCATCATTAGCTCCAAGATCCCACCATTATTCAGATTATCCAGCAGAAATTCATGAACATCCTGTTTTTCTGGAAAGCAGATAAACACAAAGTCATACATGTTCAAGGTCAAGACAACCAACAATTTGAGATAAGTAAGTTTCAATAATGTTTTATGCACGAATATTGCAGCAGTTCTCCTGTGTTGCTAAGTTTTGCATTCCAATCTGTTCAAATGGGTAACTTCACACAATAGAGCTCTCACACACAGTAACTGAGCAGTCCCCAAGACTTAAAAAAAAAAACAAAACCACATACCTGTCACCAACTGAGATATTTCTATTCTTTCTAAAATAACATCTATTTCTCTATCTTCTAGATGTGATAGGAAAATACAGAACATAAAGCACACGATATGGAAGAAACAACAGAGAAAGAGTGGGAGTTACAACAAAATCCTTACCAGATTCCATAAATGTTGTAGAATCAAATGACATTCTGTGTGGTCCAACATGCTGGAAATTCTCTTCTTTGATCTCTGACTGCACCTCATAGTTATTGAAAGCATCTTCCTCCTCCTCTGGATCTAACTTCCTTAATCTGTATGAAAAGGGAACAAAACACAGTATCAATAAAATCCTCATTCTTGCTTTCACTGGTAAATGAAACCTAAACATGGCGCGTTGTGCATTTTTTAACATCGAAACTACATTAACTGAAGCAAATTTAGAGATTTATATCCAGCTCTCAAATTTTGTCAAAACCAGTATTATCTTATCTCACCCATTTTAACATCCGCATTGTCCTCTAAATCAGTTCCATACTGACAAAAGCCATCTTATTTATCAATTAATTTTTAGTTATTTTCATTTAAAACAATTTTATTAATGAATCACATCTGCTTAAAAAAATAACCTGGGTCTAATGGTTTTAATGTTGGGGCGTATCAATCAAACAAAACCCCAAACAGCTTTCTCTACTTAGCTCCTGATATTCTCATGATGAAGTTATTGCTGTACAGTACCTGGAAGGAAGGAATTTCACCAGCAGCTCTTGAAAGTCAACCTTCTCCTCTTTTTTACACTTGGTGTTCCGGACTCTAGCAGATCTCCTCTTTGCTGTTTCACCACTATCTTCTGTAATTCTCCTTCGCTTCACACCTTTCTTAGATTTATCACCTGCAGAGATGTCACCTAGAAACAGAATTGAAAACAAGTAATTATTAGTGGCTGGCCATTTATTTTATCCTCCAGCAACACCTGAGATTTGTTGGTATCCTTCTGAAGACAGTGCCAAAATCTTAAAATAATTTTCTTTAATCATTAATATGAACTGGCTGTGGCATCTTCCATAAAAATGCTGCTCTGAGGCAAGAAGCAGACTTACTGAAAATTCTGCATTTCATTATTCATTAGAATTCATTATTTAGTCTTCAAGAAGTTTCTAAACTGGGAATCAGAGGAGCCTGCCTTTAACTCCAGAAACACCTGTAAATTCCCATGAATATAAACCAAATACTGGTAACTCCTTGGCAATTTCAGCTATGTAAGTACAGCTACAATGTAAACACTCAAGCCTCTTGCTCAGATTTCAAATCAAGCTAGCTGACAGCTTGCTTCTCTCAGGTTCTTAATGTTACACATGAGCAGAATAATCCAGTCATCTTCTGTAATAGCTCATTCATTCTGAAGCACTCAAGACTCTTCACAACATTAAAAGCTTGATATGCATTACTGCTGGGATGAAGTCATGATTCTTCTAATCTTAAGGACTGAAAAACTGAAGTGTGAGCCTCCGTAGCACAAAACCAGAAAAAGTTAGGTTTGTAATCTGAAACAATTGAGAAAAACAAATCAACCTGACTCTCAATTCAATTAGACAAAGAAGCAAGACCACTGTCCTGAACACTGGTCCTATGTCTTAGTCAGGAATCAATGACTTTCAGGCAGTTTAGGTGGCCTTCCTTTTCAAATGTGAAGGGTTAACAGAACTTACTTTTACAGAGCTCAACTTCACTTTTCCTACCATATGCTGAAAAGATTCAGAATCCACCAACATGCAGTTTAAAGACAGTATTCCCCAACAAATTCTGTAGTGCTTTTAATACCCGGGTAAGTAAGAAAAATATCTTGAATCTTAGACTGAAGTACCTTGCTCACCTACAGTAGTTCCTGGTTCTAATAAACTCTGACTGTGACTTGGAAAGTTGGGTGTCGTTGGTGTATAAGGTAATACAGGATCTGGTATTGTCACTACTGGATTAGTGCTGACAGGAGTTGGCTGAATAACACTGACAGGAGTAGAGGTAGGAGAAAGCATCACATGTTGAACTGGATCTCGGTATTCTGAGAGGTCAATTCTCTTTCCCAGACTGGGTCGAGGAGGGTCACACGTTGTGAGGTGGTGATACATGGCAAGTAAAGCTTCTCCTAAACACTTCCACCTGCATGTGGAAACACAACAGCATCACAACTTCATAAATTCTTGCCATATTATTTTCTAAATTAGCAAGAGCAGCTTTTCAGTGGGAGAGGAACATATCTGAGTGTCAAAATCCGTCCTGTGACTGAAAAGCTGGAGAGTATCCTCGTACGTTTCCTGTCACACGGACCATTAACAGTTCCAGGCCTGGAACAGAGGCTCTTAGGAGCTTTCATTCTAGAACACACCACTTAGAAAAACAAGAACAAAATGGGACAGCAGGCAAAAGATTTTCAGAGGAAGCTGGTGAGTTCATTGCAGTAGGAAGAAAATGCGAGTCGATAATGTGTCTAATCTCAAAAAATGGCTCTAACAAAAGAAGGCCTGTGAAGTAGTTGCTGAGCAAATTACACTGAACCCTAAAAAAAAGCAGTTTCAAAGGAACAATTTTCAGGCTCTGCATTCAGTCAGCAACAACAAAAGAACCTCACCCTTATCCACAGGTAGAAGCAATTTTTCTGCAACAGGACCTATGTGCAGAGTCCACTAATATTCCAGAAAAATGTGCAATTAAAAAACCAAAATAAAGCCCTATCTTTTGCGCTTTAATAAAGACATATATAGCAACTTAGTAATATCCTTACATCTTGCTGCAAATAATGAACTGTATTTTTTCTGAATTTCCATTATCCCAATAGTAAAGCCATTTTTTAAAAAGCTAAACTTACTTTGAAGTTCATATACAAAGGAGTCATATATGAAAAATCCAATAATACAGTTGTAATGGCTGCCAAAACATTCTTCACTAATATTTGTTTGTTTTTTACATTGCTGGTTTTAATTCAAAGGTTGAAAAGTGATAGATAGGGGGTTTATGCTTAAATCATAAGCACAGTGTCCTGGGTTCAGCAAACCAACCTAGAAACTCGTAAAACATGAAAACACTGGGGGGTTTGTTTTTACAAGAAGAAAGGGTTCTGAAGATAGGTGAACCTCAACACAGTTTTCAGTCTAAGTGGCTTCAGAGGAACCTTTTAAAAAGAGAAGACAAAGACATACGTGAAAAAGGGAATTGGCTGGACCAGTCTGAGGTCTGGTTCTCTGTCACGTACTAGCAAAGCTTGTCTTTTCTTTCGTAATTCCAGTGCTTCATCTATGATTCTTCCCGTTTCGGCTGCACTCAAATTGACATTATGGATAGACATGTCACTAAGAAACAATAAGAAACGAAGACTGGTTAAAGTTTTTGTTTGCTGGTTGTGCTTTTGTTGTTTGAGTCCGCTGGGGTTTTTTAAGCCTCAGAAGATTAATTTGATATCTCTCTATACTGGAACAAAAATGATAGCGTTAAAACAAGCATTCAAATAACTATCTTACAAGCTTTATAGCATGCATATAGAAGCATGTACCCTCCAAAAATCTTTACTCTCTCTTAAAGATTAAAAAACAAAGGGAGATTGTTCTGTTCTGTTTTCCAAACACTGAGAAATGAAAGGGAAGTAGGAGGTTTTATTTTCTTTCTGGGAAAGACGTTTTCAGTTCAGAAAAAAGATTGTATGGCTGAGAAATTCCTTTCATTCTAAAATATTATTCTGTGAAACTCACGTCATCACAAATAAAATTTGGAGTTGAAAATTGTCTTGTATAGTCTGAGTCTAGAAATTAATTTTTGCAAGTGAAGAATAATCCACTTTTTTCAGATATCTCAAGCCAGATACAAAACCCAAGTGGCCAAAACCACGCAATTCATTTTTAGAGCCAGATCTAAGGCAGCTTGATAAATCAGGGTCTCTCTAACTAAAGAGGGCTTCCTATTAAAGGTCCACTGCTATACATAGAATCCTAGAGCCTTAAAATTTGTTATCCTTTCTCTTCCCTATCTTCTAAATACTCTGTATTTTCACATTTTAGATATTGTTTTAATCTAAAACATTACTGGTTTTGATTGATTTATTGCATAACTGAAGGATGCACACTAGGATGTATGTTCCAATTACCACATACAATTTACACAGTGTACTGATGTTAGCTGCACATGCAATGACATTACACTCAGTGAGACTGAACCATGATTAAATTAAAAACTTAACTTCTCTTGAATTCTGTTGACCATCACCAGCAACATATTACAGTATCAGAAGCAGCTCTGACGCTGAATTATCAGTTAACTTAGATCCTGTACAATTTACAGGCCTCTACTTTCTTCTCCTACCTTCCTCCCACCCACTCCTACTACAAAAATCTACACAGAGACACTCTACTTAGCAGAGCTACATTAACCCAAACTTTTAGTGAAAGTTTTATGTACTGCAATAAAAAAGTAATAATAAAGGACTAATATCTCAAATATAATATTGTAAAATATTTTCAGAGTTGCAGTGGTCTGAAAGCTTAATAACTAAGAATTTCTGCATCTTGGTACTAATGAAACATAGAAAGTGTTCTGACTGTATTCACTTGTCAATAAAAATCAGTAATACTTCCTGAAACTTACTGAAATGAGAAAAGTATTAAGTTCCAAATTTGTAAGTGCTTGGAAAAGTAGTAACATGTGTGGGGTTTGGGTTGGTTGGTTTGGGGTTTTTTTAATTAGAAAAGAAAAACTGAAATGCATACTGCAGATATCAGCTGCAAATAAGCAAAACGAAACAAAGGAAGATGATTACAAGAGATCTGGGTATGAAAATAAGTGAGCAATAGCAAATGGACTTTCTGTCTCTTTCTACCTCCCTCCAAAAGTAATTACTGAAGAACATTCTGTCAGCAGCCCCAACAGTTAACATTGATTTATCATTTAGAAGACAGGTCAGCAAGACACTGTTGTAGCTTAAAAGCGTTCTATCTCAACAGCTTTCCTGAACTACCCCAAAGCCAAAATTTACACTCCAAATGCTGCACATACTATAGAATGACATTCACCATTTGAGGAACATCCTTAAGGAATCTTTCCGAAGGCAAGGTTGCTCCTCAAAGATCTTCTCCTTCAGAACCAATCCTTTACTATATAGACAGTCTTTCTCCAGAGCTTTGCAGATAAAGTACAAACATGCTGACAGAGAAATAGAAATTGAATAGTCAGTGACTGCTTTGATTCATTCAAAAGCTCCCATTTCTGGGCTTCGTATACACCACAGAATTCCAGCTAAATATGACATTCACATAAATTAGACCAATAGCTTTGAAACATGCCAAATGCTTACATGCATACAGCTAAAATAACCTACAATGTCTTCCCAAGTATTATATCCAGAAGAAGGGTACCATTAATTTTAAACAATGTTTGCAGTGTATCTTTTATTTACTTTCAGGACTCTGTTCCTGTACAAAAGAAATTAGAATCATAAAGCAGAATCCTAGCCATTTACCATTCTCATGTTACCAAATGTCTGAACTTCAGATTCCGTTAGTGGAACAAGCAATATATCACACCAGTTTTCTGCTTGCATGGGCAATCAAGTGAAGAGATTTAGGACTATTCCAGAGGGCTGAACCTAAGGGATCAGATGCAGTGTTTCTGCCATCTTACAGCTTCTCTCACAAACTTCTTTTGAATCAGTTCATCCACTAGATGTTACTCAAATGTAAAATCTTGGTGTCTCTTGTATCAACTGCTCTAACTACAATTAATCATACTAGGCTGTGAAGTATGATTGCAGTTTCATAAACAAACCCTAGAACTATGTAGCTGGAAATGCCCAGAAAAACAAAATCAACATATATGCAAGAGAAAAGTCTAAAGAGAAACTTCTTGCGAACACTCTGATCTAAGAGGCCACAAGCATTTATTTTTAGGGTAGCCAGAATTGATACAAACCACCATACTTCAGCATGAAATTACAAAATCTCTATCATAAGGTCACTATCATAACCTAAGGTACTGCTTACACAAGACACACTTTCTCCTGCACAACTGCATCATTACAGGTTTTTACTGATACGTAAAAATTACACTATCTTGACAACTTTTTTTTGTGTACTGTACTTACTTGTGTAGTCACTGAGTGTGTACAAGATCGTGATAAGATTATCCAAACAAGGCCAGTGATCAGGATTACACCTGAGACCTTCTTCAAAAGCATGACGAGCCAAAGGCAGTCGGATTAGTTTGATTGCCACACAGCCAATTTTATACCATAGGTTGACATCAGTAGAGTCTAGCATCACAGCCTAGAAAGCATAACAAACACCATTATTCACATTTCAGACATGCATATTCACTTGTCTACAGGGACTGGCACTGCTTTAGTTTTTAGCAGGCTTGCTACTGATTCAGGGACTGACTGGTAGACCAGTTATCATATATAATGTCAGCAACTACTCAGAATTCAGACATACATTCAAGTGATGTATGCTGAAAGGTGTACATCTATATTTTGGCAAGTATTTGCAGACATTGAGGCTCCAGTGTTTTATTTCAGCTGTACTGTACCTCCAAGTAAAACTCCATGGCTGTCTCTAAGTCATCGCGTTGTGCTGCCAACTGTGCTAGGTTTTTATAGGTGGAATATTTTAACATCAAGCCTGGATGTTTCAGTCCTTCTTTCTCATCACCAGAAAGAACTGCCTAGAAATGATAAAATAAATGCAACGTGGGCATCGGGAATTAGACATCACACAAGTAAAAAGAACAGCAAACTATTTGCCAATTGATAACACTGATATCTCTCAACTAGCCAGAAAGAAATGAAATAATATCAAATAAAGCCAGTTTCTAGAGTTTCATTCTCTAAAGGTCACTGACCTCTCTCAGAAGACGAATCTCAAGCAGCTCATGATAAGCTTTTGCAGACTCTTCAAATCGGTCATGTTTCTGAAGGTCCAAAGCTTTGTGGTACAAAGCAAAAGCCTCTGCTTCCTGTGGTTTAAAAAAACAGAACCTATTTTGTAGAGCAACTTTATTAAATATAATTAAAAAAATTGTGAGTTTACTTACCTGGGCTTCTTTTGTCTGTGTCTTATGACTCTTAAAGGTACCTTCGTAGTCATCCTCAATTGCGGAGCTCGCATTCAATGCTGCAATTCGGATCTAGAATGACAGTCGAGATGCAACAAGAAATGTTACAGCTACAAGTGTGCCTTCGCAAAGTCAAGTTTTCTCTATTTTTACTTTACTTGGTAAATGGACAATACTGAGAGATCTCTACATAAAGTTACAAGAACTGTAATGTCATCACTAATTGCAAACAATGAAACTTCAAAATTATTTCTCCCATTAAATCAGCTGAAAAAAACCTCAAAATTTCAAGTGTCTTGCAAGTAACAGTTTCCCCAGAACAGACAATTACAGCAAACTGTTTTCAAATTCTTTAATAAGAATAACCACAATCACTCCAAACCCAATGTTCTTAATATGCCAATTTAGTCTTAGTCCTGTGGAAAGAGAAAAATTTCTATTTTATTTCTACCAAAACATCTCAAAAAGCATCTCAGTAAGCACTTACCATGTTCTCAGCTGTTCTCACTGTCTTTTCTCCAGGATTAGGATGAAAGGCCTAACACAAACAGGTCTGGAAAGCAAACAGGGTTAGAATATTTATTTTGTCCATAAAGGAAGCATTCAGAAATAAAAGACAGGCTGGGAATACTTTAATCAACAACCAATTAACTGCCCTATGTCACCACCACCCCCCATGCCAAGGGATAAATTGCCCTATAATGTAGGAACAATAATATTAAAGTGAATTTTAATAGAGGCAGAGAGCAAAATACAAATTTAAGCACATGCATTACTTCAGGATGACTTTCGAGACCCTAGTCCTGGTGGTGAGGTGGGAGTGGAAGTACTTGCAATGTAATCACGCCTATAAGATTATTCAGTTACTGCAAAATACTTAATAAACATACATTATATTAACAACATTATAACATGAATCCTTTTAATGACAAAGGTGAAACCAAAAAAAGCTTCTGACATTTTCTGAGCATGAACCATTATTGCTTATGAGTTTATCTTAAGTTACATTACCAAAATAAAATTAGAATCCTTCCTGCACCTTTTACCTGTAGCACAAACCAGAGTGCACTCTCAGGCCTGGATACCACAGCATTTATGGATATTTACAAAACAGGAGGGAAAACATAGAAGGTTATCTGTGTCGGACTGACTTTGCAGCAGGGTAGAGCAGCTGGTCAACCTACTGCTCAAAATACTGCCTGTGCCTGGAAATTCCTCTGATTAAAAATGTTTCTATCACTGCTATCCCTGCTAGAACAGAACCAGTGTTTATAACACACTTGTCTCTTCTGAGTGTAGACCACCTTCTAAGGCAAAAGCAAGTTCTTAGACCTCTTAGATATATACAAACAAAAGAAACTGAACTTATGTTCTATTACCTTCCTGAAACTTTATGTTAGTAAAGGCAAAAAAAATGACAGTTCTGTGCTGCTTTTTAAGAAAAGCTTCACTGCTACATCATAAAACCTTCCCATCAACTCAAACAAAAAATGTGACATGCATGAGACAGGCTAAAAACAGTCTTTAATATTGGAGGCCACATTAATAGAAGAGTAAGTCCAGAATTAACCACAGCAGGAAGCAGTGGGAGTTTTGAACTGTAAGCTGAATTAGCTCATACATCATCATGATTAGTTCTGCATGTAGCGAAAATAATGCTTTGACAGGGTCTCATTCATTCAGCAATGGTATTTTGCTTGCCCATGCACCACTTACTTTCCTCACTTGCAGCTAAACAGACTGACAACTGCACAGCAATAAAACATTTTTCTCCTTAAGTAAATAAACATTAATAAAACCTCAAATCTCTTTCAAGAGAAGCATTCCTGGTCTGCTTTGCTAATGGAGAAAATGCATGCACAGGGATTAATGGCTATGTCCTTCAGAAATATTGAACACCCCAGGTGTTGACAGGAAGTGTGGATGCTTATTGCATCTAAATAAATTAGACTGTATGATTAGACGATATCAACTACATATTTAACCCGAGTGGTTTTAAAGTTCACTTACAGATACACCTATATTCAGAAATCGCTGAAGTCTTTTGCTGAATCCACATAATCTTGCTCAAGGCAGCAGAGGAACTCAACAGGAGAGGGACTACAGTCAAGAGTTTACTTCTGCGGTTAGACTGCCAGTGAAACTGCAGCTACAGAAAAGGTGGGGAAACAGTTTTAATTCCACTTTATATCTCTACAGAGAGTTTGTAACAAGTATTTAGCACCTTTCCTCTCTGGGGTTCACAAGCTGAGCGCACATAACCAAACAGAACAGTGTAATGCTTTTGAGAAACAGGGCAATGACATTGCCTCCACACAGCTTTTGTACCTGTGTGTCAGGCAGGTGGGGAGCTGTTTCATCTCTTTTTTTTACACTGTCCATGGTTGCTAACGTAACTGTGGACCGAGTTACCACAGTACTGTAACATCTAGGAATAAAGCATGTCACTACAAGCACTTCCAGAGGAACCAGCTACGTCAATTAAGCAGGGAAAAAAAAAGAAATAGTCTTTAATATAGAGTATTATAAACTGGGTTGAACTTTTTTCAGCTACAGGAGGGTCTCAGCTGATCCATCTGTGGCTATGACAGGTGGGCACGTCCTCAAAAGGCAACAATACCTCTTTAAAGCCTTTTGCATTCAAAATCTTGTCTCCTTTTACCTCAGTAGTTTAAAACCTCGTTAAAAATGTCGACGGTCTGCTCCGTTTCCAGAGCTCGTGCGATTCCCAACTTCAAGATAAGAAACAAAGGGAGCGACTTGGGCTTTCCTGGCTTTTGTTGTTGTTGCTACACTTGGGATCCATTCACTGCAAATACACATTTGTTTCAAAATAAAACCACCCTATTTTTATTTCGGGTTTTGTTTTTAACGGGGCAAAGATCCCCTCCGCCGCATTTTAGCAAAAGCCGCTTTTACCGAAATACGGTCATTTTCCGCAAAGAGGAGCGGGGACGCCTGTCACTCCGCTTGCCGGGCTCCACGTCCCAGCGGGCGGCACAAAAGGCCGGGAGGAGGCGAGGGAAGGAGCGAACCCACGTTCGCCCCTCACCGTGGCTCCACGGAGGCGAGGGCCGACCCCGCCGCGCCGGGCTCTCGCAGCAGGGGAAGGGCCAAAGCCCCGGCAGCCCCTGAAGCCCCTCCACGGTGCTGCGGCGGACGGGACACTCACCTCGCAGGGCCGCCCCGGGATGGCGGCGCAGGGCGGGGAGCGGCCGCCGCGAGGCTCCCGGCGCGGCTCCCTCAGGCGAGCGGCGGCTCCCCGGAGACACGGCCCCACCGGCGGTCTCCACGGCAACCCCCGCCGGAGCCCCGGAGACCCGCGCGCCAACAAAAAGGCTGCTCATTGGCAGAGCAGCTGCCTCCATTGGCAGCCAATGGGAACGCGGGGAACAGGAAGGCGGGGCGGGTCGCGGTTGGAGCTGGAGGTGACAGCGGCGGAGGGCGCTGTTCCCGGTGGCGTGGAGCAAACGCTCGAATGGCGTCGCAATGGGCTTGGAACGCATCCTAAAACTGCTGTTTTATCCCTAAAACTTCCCGTGACTTGGGGTGGAAAAGTGCTTTTTTGCCCCAGGGAGGTGGAGGTGTTTGTGTGGTGGCGGCAGGACGGTGCGAGCAGTGACTCGAGCCAGACCGTAACTGCAAAACAGCTCCTTGTACAAATAATTGTATTTAAATGTTGAGGTGATGACATTGCGGTGAGCCTGAAAGACAAGGTGTGACAGCCGCAGCCCTACCGGAGCCCTGGTGCAGGCACAATGTCCAGGCAAGCCCTGAGCAGACCCAGCACACCCAGGCCTCGCACCATCTGCGAGGTACAGCCACAGCTTAGATGGCACCTCTTGTTACGAGTCACATCACACTGATGAAGTTCAGCTTGTGCTCAAGCGTTTCACTGACCCAGCATTTACTGCTAGAAGGATGAACTCCAGGGTCTGTTTGTGGGTGAAAACAATGCCCCCATCTTTCTGTTGTGGCAAAGTACAGGCGGTGTTGCCGTGAACAGCAGCATCAGACTGTTGTACCCACGGAATAACCTCTGAAGCCATCACGATTCTGTAATACATGTCTGTCAGGGGTGCCCTTCAGCGTGCTCATGTACATACATAGAAAGACCTTCTGCAGTTCAAAGGTCGGAAGCTAGGAAATGGTTAAACCACGTTCAAAAGTGGCTCTTTACCTTTGAATTTGCAAATATGCCCACACAGAGCTCTCAAACAACAGAGGTCATTTCTGGAAGCAGAAATCCTGGTTAACCTTAGGAGGTTAAACCTGGGAAGTTAGAGTCTGTACAGCAGTAAAAAGATCTACTATAGCTGGGGGATGGTAAGTCCAGATGGTAAGCAGACCCCATCCAATGCTGGAAGCCAATAAACTGACACTTATCAAAAAGAGGCTTTTATATGTTTTATTAACTAGATCAGGTTTAACGTGTGTCCCCCCCCTAGCCTGACACACAAACTGGTGTTTGGTGTTATATTCCTGACTTTTGCAAACACAGGTGTTTACGCTGCATAGGGAACAACTAACTGCAAATGGTAATTAGAAGGAATATTTTCAACTAGCTCAAGTCCTCAAGTCTCAAATAAAACTGCAGTCAGAATGGCAGAGCGGCACAGGAGCATCCTCCAGCCTTGTGTTCCCATGGACACTTTTATGTTCCAAGGGCGGGCTCCCAGTTCCTCTGAGCTCCCCGTCTGCAACCTGACCGAGTCACAAAGTGGCTGGTAGGGGTCTGAAAACACTGAGAAGTGTTCTCATTACCAGTGGAAGACGGAGATAACATTAGACATAAAAAATACTGTGCTTTTGTTTTACTAAAATGCCTCATGTATTTCAGTTATAAAGTGAGGGAGCATATGGGTCCTAAAAACCTAAAACGCTTCCCCACAGGGACAGTGAGCTGAAAACACCAGCCACGGAAGACAGCGAGATGCTGTATGATCCCAAAACTCCACACCAGGAGAGCCTTTGGGATACGAGACAGGCTTGAGACAAAGACCTTGAATTATTTCAGTAACATTAATACAGTTGATCATCCCACTCTTCAGCTTTGTGTGCACAGGATGCAAAGACAAAAGCGAATTACACAGGTGAAGTGCAGAGCTACACAGATTTGATCATAAGAGGAAACAATTAGATGGAGCTGGTAATCTCTAGGTTATCTTCATCATTGCTTTGTTCCATCGGCTGCTCAAGGGTATCACAGGAATGTCATGACTGTTCTGTTCTTGCCAATCTGCCAGGGCTCCAGTGGGTAAAAGCGGATGAAAATCCTTTTCGGGTACAAAAGCAAAAATGCAGTGGACAAGAAACATTAGTTTACAGTTAGATATTATCCCTGCCCAGTTTGCAACAAGGTAGGAAATCTGCACGATGTTCTCACTGTCTCACACTTCACGGTGTTAATTTAACAGACGCAAAAATAAACCATGTGCGGGCAGGGTACAAACAGATGCCAGACCTCATCCACACAAACCAAAAAGGAGATTGAATTTCAACACTGCTTATACAAGATACTTGCTCACAAGGACCCATGCAGCTCTTAATCTCTGTCAGGTATTTACCCTGACAAAAGCAGGGAAATGCTACTACTCACCTTGGGAAGACAGGGAAGAGGGGCAGAGAGGGACATGGCTTACCTTCAGGACAGCCATTTGGCACGGCAACCTGTTCCCATGGGGGTTTTGCACCAGTTACAGCAACTGGAACTACTCATCTTCAGAGAACAGTAACCCAGGCTGCGCAACGACTGCAGACCGGTCCATAGTTTTATCTGGACCCAAACCACGTCTGGGATTTGGCATTCATGAGCACTCTCTGTTTGCTCGCCTAGTCTAGGCTCTGTTACGCTTTAACCTCACAGAGGACATGGGAACCTACTTCCTCATTACTTTGTGCACCCGTCTGTACGGTTTGCTGTGTTTCACACGTTCAGAAGGGATAGAGCAGAGGCGCTCGCTCTGCCCCCGGGCCAGGCGCGGTGCCTCTCACCTCGGGGCGCCGGAGCCCGCGGGCCGGCACAGCCCCCGTCCCCGCAGCACCCCCGTCCCGCCCGCACTCACCGCTCGGGGCCGAGGCCCAGCTGCGCCGTCAGGACATCGAAGAAGCGGGCGCTGTGCCGCTGGTTCTGCTCCGCCGAGCCCACCACGCCGATGGAGGAGACGAGCAGCTGCGCGCAGGGCTCGCCCGAGCCCGCCAGCACCATGGGCAGCCCGCTCCGCACCGTCACGTTCACCCGCTGCGGGCACAGCCACCGTCAGGCCCCGGCTCCCCCCCCCTCCCGCCGCCGCTGCCCCGGCCCCTCGCTCACCTCCGCCGGCTTGCCCAAGATGTCTGCGGCGGCCGCGCACAGGTCCTGGGCCAGCGCCGGGGGCAGCCGCCCGGCCGGGAGGTTGGTGTCGAGCTCCAGGAACGGCATGGCCCCGCGCTACGGTACAGCGCGCCCGCACCGCCACCGACCGGCCCGGCCCGGCCCCCGCTCCGCCCCCAGCGCCGACCGGGCCCCGGAACCGGGAACTCTCGCCGGTCCCGAGGCTGCTGCAGCAATGCGGAGTCACCCTGCGCTTCCAGCGCCACAGGCTCCGCGTGTTCCCCGTATTAGCCCAGCTGGGTCTGGGGCCTTTCGCTTTGGACACCGTGCTTTGCTGGGGTGTGAGTTAGAGACTGCGGGAGCCAGGAACTCCCGTCCCACCGATGGATGGGTTGAACGAGTTCTGTGACAGGCCTTAATGCCGGTGGGAAGACATTTCTGGTCACCGGGATGGACGCCTCTGCACAGGGAGAGTTAAGAACGGCAGAGCAGTGATGTCTCAGAACAAGAGGCACTGCAAGAAAGTAAAAGGCAAGCAGGGAGGTTTCTTGTTTTATGCAACGTGTTACCAAACAAGCTTGTGCAATCAGGACTTTGAGCTCCCAAGTTGATAAAAGACCCTGCAGGCTGCCTCATAGGGACAGTCTCATCTACAGATCAAAGGTGTCTAACCTAGACATCAGAGCTTTCTCAGGAGCTCAGCTACTGCCCAGTGAGCATTACACCTGCTCATTTACAGCAAAAGGTTATGAACTAGCTAGACTAAAAGGGCACATCACTGTTTTGAAAACCCTTTATGATGTGACTGTTGGGTTTTCTACAGTTCTAGGCAATCTTAATGAAAACTGATGGAATTGACCATTTGTTTTGCTGGAGAAATTTCTTGGCCTTTACTGCTGCTAATGCAGACAATACTGGCATGAGGAGTTCTGTGCGTAAACCAGCCAGCACTAAGGCTGGAAAAAGATTTCTAGGACAGAGATTGTGAAGAGAGAGGGGACGGGGTATGGCAGGCAGGCAGTCGGGGTGGCTGCCTGTGGTGGTAAGTGGTAACACAGATGCTGCCTTCAAATCCAGGAAAGCAGCAGAAAAAAGAGCCCAGGAAAACCATTAGATTCCAGGGTAAATGTACAGAAAGATATAATCTTGTAAATAGAAGAGATGATCCCCAGTTTGCAACTGAAATGACAGCAGGGGGGTTATTCACCCACCCTGCAAACCCCAGGTGCAAGCCCACCACTGCCTGATCCCTGGGAGTCAAGACTTCCAAGTAAGATGCTGTTAAGCATCCATTTTTCTGTTTTTCATTCCTTTAAACACTATAAATCTCTTCCAATTCCAAGGCCAAAAAAACCCACCCCATGTGGAAAGAAACCAGCGTCTCAGAAAGCCTCCAAAGGGAAAATAAAAGATTCAAGTTATCAGATGTCAGCAATTAGAACAGAACATGGGACTGTCACAAACATCTTTATTGATACGTGTTTTCCTTCACTCTCGATGGCTGACCATGTGAATGGCAGATTGTTCACAGAGTTCTTACTAGGCAAAAGACATTTGGGTTATTGTTTCTGTCTTGGAGCTGGCAATTAAAATGCTTGTACGGGGGTGCCTTGGGTGACATGGTTTAGTCTTGGGTGGCATGGTTTAGTGTGAGGTGTCCATGCCCATGGCAGCGGGGTTGGAACTGGATGATCTTAAGGTCCTTTCTAACCTGAACGATTCTATGATTCTATGAACGTATGACCAAGACAGGACAGCACAGCAGCAAATAGTCTCAAACCCGCTCAGCCTTTGGAAAATCATGGCAGTTTTTTCCCTTCTGCAGACATTTGCCTGTGCCATCATCCACTTAGGAATTCCACTGTCAAAATTATATACATATAAAAAAACCCCAACCATTTCCCATTTAAAATTTAACTCAGTTGTAGACAATATTTTGTGAATAACACATCCATAAAAACATACGATTTAGCTCAGGAAGAACTGATAGGGTGGGAATAATCATGTGCCTATTTCTAATAGTTTGGAGCATGGAAAGAGAGGACGTTTAGTCAGGGCTCGTCTTTATAGAGAATACTATCACAAGACGAAATTTCCTGCTCATGGCAGCTGCAGTATGTCATGGAATTCTCTTTTCAGACAGGGAATTTAAAGATCTCCGTAGGCTCTGGACTAAATCAGTAATACCTAGAACTGAAACATTAGGGAAAAACATCACCAGAACACATCAGGTTTTATAGAGCTTCCCAGCAGAAACGTCACTAGCCAAGACATGGTGGTACTGGAGGGAAAACGAGTTATTTGATTAGTGAGAGAAGCACTTCCTGGATTATTTACTCATTTTGTCCTGTTCTCTACAGGAAGAGTTCTTAGGCAAGGGTTTCAGGGTAAGCTTCAAGGGCAGCAACTACTTATGAATGGAAATACGCGGAGATACAGATTCCGCCAGTTACTGCATCCTTTACAATTTGCTATTTTCAACTGAAAAAAAATAGGAATGGTTGGAGCCTCTCAGTTTTAGCTCATAAATTGTACTGCAGCACAAAAGGGTTCTGTATTTGCCAAGAAACAGAGCCCCAAAGCTTCAAAACAACTCTCTGTCCTTTTATTGCGAGGCATCGGTTGCTCAATGCCACAAAGCCTCTTATTCGCTAAGCTGCACAGGGTGACTTAGTTGGTAAACTTCCATCCAAAACAGTCTCAGAAGACCATGTCTAGATTTACTCCCCCTCTGCATTTTCTGGCAGAAATGTGGATTGCTATTGCAGCATTACCACAGACAAAACCAATCTGCTTCCTATTATATTATCTTCCAAGCAATCACTGTGAATTCATTCTCTCATTGTATTCCCTACATAATAGCAAGAGTATTTTAGTTAGGCAATTAAAGAAAGGCTGTAGCCACCATCAGCTTTTTCAGGTGGCTTGGTCTTTAGTGCATGGATCTCCCAGAACAGCCCCTATCATGTGTACGGGCAGATCAAGCAGCAAAGAAACCCGGGCTTCCAGAAATGGGGAGCAGTGGCATAACCAGAGCTTTGGGAGGATTCACAGTTGTAGATGAGGAAACTTCTTACAGGAGCTTAAAGGCAAATGGAAGGGTGGGGGGTGTGCATGGAGAGCCAAGCAAGAGGCCTCAACAGTGAGAAACTGAAAAAAAAAATTAAAAAAATAAAAAAATAAAAAAATAAAATGTATTCAATGTGTTTTTTCACTTTGTGACCTCCTGTAGTTTTGCGCTGTGTGTGCTGGGAAGAAAGGTGAGGACCAAACATGCCTGCAGTGCTTGCCACTTGAGAAGGAGCTGTTGAAATCACATGAAAACAATGATCCCCATCCTATGCAGTTCCCCAGTGTAGGCTGGCTCAGTTTTTGTCAGGAAATACCATTTGTGTCACTACCACCTCTGAATAGAGTGACGCTGAAATAAAACCCAGATGCGCACATTAAGTGACCTCAGCCTACTGGATGAATTTAATGTTTCAGGTCTTAAGCCTTCCCCAGCTTCCATGCACAGAGATACAAGAAAGGTCTGGTGGGGGGAGAAACAGTCTGCAGTTTCTGTGTTAGAAGTACAATGCTCTTTCCAGTTACATGTAGAACTGGGGGTCAGAGAAGAAATTAAAACAAAAGGGGCATGAAAAAGGGTAAGATAGGTTAATTCACTTCAATATCTTCATCAACACAGGTGCCAGATGCTCCTTCAGCTGCGGATGAATTTGAATGTTGCTCAGTTCTTGGATACTGAAGATCATCTCATGGGCTTGAAGGAAAAGCTCTTTCCCCACAGCATCCTCCACCCGCCTGCGCCACTCCATCAGCCGAGGTCTGTCTTCAAAGACATCACAACCAACTCCCACAGGCTGCAGAAATGGGGAGAGAGCAACAGTGAAGCCCTGGGCTGTCACTTAATCAAGACCACAGGCATCAAAAGTGTGCCTGCAGGTACAGGTAGGGGAAAAAAATCCAGAGGAGCCTGTAGCAGAGCACTAGGAAGGAGGGAATTCCTTGGCTGGGTGTGTCTATGTGGAGGACAGAGGAGCTAGCCTCTGTTTTAAAGGGCATTTACAATTCCTGAGTTCCAGAACAGCAGTTACGAGCAGCAGAGATGCCTACCACTTGTTGTGAGTGATTTTCAGCTATAGCAGTGGTGGGCTGACAGTCCCAGGGCCAGCTGCACAGTTCGCCTGTATTATAGAGCAAGACCCCATCACAAAACACTAAGTATTTAACTGAACTTAGCTGACATCATCTACCTCTACCTCACTTCTGCTTTCTGCCTGTGCCACCCTCTGAAACACAAAGCTGTAGAGAAGCAGAACTGTCTTTGGGACTTTGTTCAGTCTTTGGGACACAGAAGGAATCAGACCCTGCTGCTCTGGCAGAGAGCACCCACTTTATAACAGACTTGATTGCCTGTGTCTGAGAATCAGTTTTGCATCTTCCAAACTTCGCATGGGCAAGTACCATCTGAAGTAGAATATGGCTAGATCATTTTCTTATTTCATCAGACCTGTTTGCTGTTGTTTCTCACCTCCTCTGTAGGGTGAAAATCAGGATAAAGGATGAAGAAGTATTGTTAGGGGAGAGAAACAGAGGAGATCTGTTGTTACCAGCTTTTTTTTTTCTCTCTCTCTTTTTTTAAACTAGTTTTCTGAACGCACTCCCATGTTCTCCTCATTGTCTTAGCTGTGTTGAGGTACACCATCACTCCTCTGTCCGCATGCTGCATCCCTCCCTGCCTGGAAGCATCTGTTTTCCCTTGCGCTGGGCCTTCCTTACCACACTCCAGCACTCACCTGCATCAGCTCCACCACGGCCACAAGATCAGCCAGAGAGATCTCATTCCCGATGATAAATGCCTTGTCCTGCAGAAACCTCTCCTCAAATTGCTTCAGGGAAGTGGAAAGCCCCTCCATAACCTCCTGGAGTTTCTCAGAGGGCAGTGGCTGCCCTGTGAAGAGGGGAATCAGCACCTGAGGAGAAAAGGGCTTGAAGAGTACAGCCAGCCATTTTCTGATGGATCTGGTGGTGGCCACTTAAGTTACACCCCATGAACTCACCATGGTCAGTGATCTGCAGGATGGGATGATGTTAGAGCTTCATGGACTGCTGCACGTGTGAGTAGCTCATGGACAGAAAGCACACAAGCAGTCCTGAGCAGCTGATCTGCTGTGACCGTAACCTCA